TCTGTCCAAGTTTTGAATCTGATATTGACTATCTGACTTGCTTTGGCCAATGAGACATTAGCAAATATAAGGTTAGTAGATGTTTGGAATGTACTTGCACACTATGCTTGCCCTATCTTTATGCTGCAAACCCTTCTGCCACCATAGGAACAACGAGTCAGGGCCAACCTCCTGGAGAGAAGGCTGTGGAAGACATGGAGATTTGTTGCTCAATCTCCCTTCAAAGAAGGTCTGGTTGTCCAGCTGAAGGAAACGTGGTCAGCAGTCTTCAGCTGTCAGTTCCTCAGGGTCCACCTCAGCAGCAGAGGTCACAGTCTTGTGAAAGAGGTGTGTGTATAAAGACTGGCCACTTGAGCCTGACAGTGGACATTGCAGATGGGCAATGTTCACTCCAGAGTTCCCTACAAAGTGTGACAAGGCTTCATGAAGCCTGCATCACAGTTCAACTTCTCCCTCTGCAACAATCCCTTTTCTCCTTTTCTTTCACAGGTATTGGTTCCTAATACACACCTTGCACCTTAAATTCTATCCCAGAGTCTGCTTCCAGAGAACCCTATCTATACCAAGACCCTGATGATCCCAGTCATCTCAGCTATTCCTGCTGAAGTTCCACTCATGTGAGTGAGGCCATCCTGGATCAGCAGAACCAGGATGAACCAGCTCCAACGTAAAAAGCAACTGACTCAGATAATCCTGAAAAATAACAAATATCTGTTGTTTTAAAATACTAAGTTTTGAAGTGGTTCTTTACATAGCAAGAGCTAGCTGGTACATCAGCATATTAAAAAGATAATACAAAAGTTGGACTTGAACTTCAGAGAGAACTCCACAAGAGAGCTGATATTAGAAAAATCTATGCCATTCACTACCTTAACAGTTTAAAAGAGGGAAAAATATATTATCATCCCAATAGATTATAAACTAAGTGATAAAAATAATAACCTTTTATTACTTAGAAAAAAACCTCTCAGTAAAATAGAAAGACACTTTCTTAACATGAATAAAGGTGTATTCCAAAAACCTCAAGCAAGAATCAATTGAATAGTGAAACACTAAAATCTCCTTTAAAATCAACAACTAGCACTATCACTATTTTCATTCAATATTAAAATAAAGATATTAGTGCACTCAAAAAAAATAAAGAAGAAAAAGGAACATGATTTAGTAATAAAGAAATAGAGCCCCCCTATTTCTGATGTGATGACCCTACATGTGATGACTATTTATATAGAAAACCCTGGAACCTTTAGGTTAATTAGGAAAATAAAAATCTTAGCAAGGTGGCTGGCTATAAGTTCAGTAACAAAAACCAATTACACTCCCTGATGAAGTTAATTGCAAAAATAAATTAAAATTAAAAAACAAATTATGGTGCTATAAAGGAAGAACAAAAAATTAAGAAAGGTAATTTTTAAAAGCTACTATTTACAATAGCAACAGAGCTTTTGTAAGAAAGCCAACAAAAGATGTGAAAGACCTGCATGAAAAAAATTATAAAGTTTATTGAAAGATAAGAGAAGACCTAAATAAACTGAGAAATATATCATGTTCATTGATAGGAAGACTCATATCATAAAATGGCAATTATCTCTAAATAACCTAAATGTACTATGAAACTATAAATACAATCTCAGTATGATTGTTAAAATTTTTTTATTTTATTTATTGTTTTTGTATTTGCCTCCTGGAGGCAGGAGCTCACTCTGTCACCCAGGCTGAAGTTCTGTGGCATAATCATAGCTCACTGCAGCCTCAAACTCCTGGGCTCAACTGATCCTCCTGCCTCAGACTCCCAAGTAGGTAGGACTACAGATATGCACCACCACACCCAGTTGATTTATTTTTATTTTTATTTTTTGCAAAGAATGGATCTTATTATGTTGCCCATGCTGGTCTCAAACTCCTGGCCTCAAGGAATCTCCCTGCCTCAGCCTGTCAAACTGTTGGGATTACTAGCATGAGCCACCACCATGCCCGGCCTCAACATGATTCTTTTGTGTATGGAATTTAATGAAGTGATAAAATTGACATGAATGCCTAAGGGGCCAAAAATAGCCGATACTCTCCTAAAAGTATTTTTCAACACATTAACTGATTCTGACTATAGGTAATTGTAATACAAAGAACACTTATAAAGAAATAAAAAAAGGTAATCCAAAAATAAATATGACATGAAACACATGAATACCAGAGAGTAAGGACCTGGCTTTTCAGTGATAGCAAAAAAAAAAAAAAAAAAAGAATGGTCAATAAACATATGACAAAATGCCCAACCTCATTACTAAACAAAAAATTAAAGACACTGCAAAAATACTATTTTACACCTATGATAGCAAAAACCTTTAAATTCTGACAATATTAAGTATAAAAGATGTTGTAGACCAATGAGTTCTTAATTCTGATAGTGGGAATATAAATTGGCATGAATTTTAGTTTTTCCAATGAGTGAGAAATTATGGAATCCAAATATTAATGAGGACGAGAACCCAGAGAGGTAAGCACAACTAAGCATTTGTCTTTAAAAGAAACATCTGTGAAACTGAGGTACAGGTTTGACAACCTGGTAGAGTATGATAAACAAGACTCAAAATCCAGGAACTTCCTAAGGAAAGACACACCTGACGTTCGCTTTAAGTTGGAACCAGAAGGGCTGACCTCCCTGGACAAGTGTCCTCTAGAAATAAACCAAGTGGATTTGTGTGTGTGTGTGTGTGTGTGTGCTTAACTTTTCTTTTCTTCTTTTTTTTTTTTTTTAAAGTGGATTTCAACGTGATTTTGTATCACCTGGGTGGTTCTGAGAACCTCAAGCTTTGAATTTGGAATACTCTAGCACTAGGTAAGCCTCTCGGATCTGGTATAAGCAAGTAAAAATCTTCTCCGCATTTGGAAATCCATCTTTGGAAGATGCCATTATAGGAAACCTCATATGCTTGCTTTTTTTCCCCCAAGTAACATGACTAGCACAAAGACAAAGATAATATTCCACACACAACATAATCACAACATGATTATGTTGTGTGTGGAATTTAATGAACTGATATAATTGATATGAAAGCTCAAAGGGCAAAAAAATAGCCAATACTTTCCTAAAAATGTTTTTTCAAAACATTAACTGATTCTGACTATAGGTTAGTAATTGTAACAAACAAGACACTTTCATCAAGAACCCACTGAAGCAATAGACAAAATGATGCTTTTCCCCATAATATAATTTCTAACTCTAAACATGACAAGTATTAAAAAAAATTGTTACATACACAGTAAACTTGCAAATAATTTTAAAAAGAAAAAAATAAACAGTATTCTCAATGAACACATGTAGACAAATGCCTGACTTCCAGGTTGAAATTTTACCATGCTTTCTCTATGAGTGTGGTTTGCAGAATTCCTGTTTAAGCCTACTACTTCTCTGTTACACTACATTAACTTAAAACCAGGAACCATGAAAACTAATAACCACAGTTACAAATTTGGGAAAGAAGAGAATGAGAAGAAATGCCACAAGTGAGAGAAAATAATGTGCAAAAGACATCTGATAAAGGACTGTTACTCAAAATACACAAAACTCTTAAACCTTAATAAGAAAATAAACCAATTTAAAAATGGGCAAAAGATATACAGATAGCAAATGAGCATATAAAGAGATGCTCAACATCATGTCATTAGGGAGATGCAAATTAAAATGAGATACCCCTACCAACCCATTAGAATGCCCCATATCCAAAACATAGACATCAAATGCTGGAAAGGATATGGAGCCACAGGAACTCTCAAGCACTGCTAGTGAAAATGCAAAACAGTACAGCCACTTTGGAAGACAGTTTGGAGCTTTCTTACACAACTACACACTCTTAACATAGAATTTAGCATCAAACTCCTTGGTCCCAAAGGAGTATTTAGCCAAAAGAGCTAAAAAATTAGGTCCAGACAAAAACTTTCACATAGCAACTTTATTCTCCATTCCCCACATGTGGAAGCAATCATGGTATCTTTGAGCAGATAAAGAGATAAGCTGTGGAACATCCAGACAATAGAATATCAACCAGTGTTAAAAAGATATAAGCTAGCAAGCCATAAAAAGACATGTTACTAAGTGAAAGAAGCCACTCTGAAGAGGCTATAGACTGTATGATTCCACTTATATGACAGTCACATTCTGGAAAAGCAAAACTATAGAGATAGTAAAAAGATCAGTGGTTCCCAGGCATTAGGGGAGAGGGAAGGATGAAGGGACAAAGAACAGAGGATTTTCAAGACAGTGAAACTATTCTGTATGATGTTACAATGGTAGATAAATGTCATTATATATTTGTCAAAACTCAAAGAATATACAATACCAAGAGTGAACCCCAATATAAACTATGGACTTTGGGTGATAATATGTTAAGGTAGGTTTACGGACTGTGATAAATGTACTACTGTGGTGCGGAATGCTGATATGGTGGATGCTGATAGCAAGGGAGGTAATCCCATGTGTGGGGGTGGGGTGGGGAGAGGATACCTGGGAACTCTCTATACATTCTGCTCAATTTTGCTGTGAACTTAAAACTGCTATAAAAAATAAAGTCTCTTAAATTCTTTTTTTTAAAAAATTGAGAAAAGGATGCTATGTGAGGATACTTTAAGCTATTAGATTCAGTCAAGAGACTCTGGGGCCACATTTATAATTATCCATTACCTAGCAAGTCATACAGTGAGGGCATGCCCTATACAGCTTACAACACAGAATCCAGCATGATATTCTAAATACCAAGAACAGCAGATGTTATGAAGAATATCTGAAAGAGCCAAGTTCTTTCCTAAAATTATAGACTGTTGTTATCAGTGCCAGAAATAATTAGGAAGTCTATTTTGGAATTCAAACACTTCAGGATTTGCTTTTCGAAGTTCATTTACTAAGGTCTAGTCTCACATCTTCCCTAATCTACTTTTTACTAATTAAGAATTTTGCTGCCATGCCAACAATACATTTTCTTAAAGAAAACAATCTTACAACTTTGAAATGTTAGTGTCATTTTATGCCACAAAACTTTATTTACAAAGATTTTTAGAATATACTTGCTATCCACCCACTATTCCAAGAGTGAAATGATGTCAAATAGATTACACAGGAGCATAAAACAGAGAAAACAAGTCTACAATATATACAGTGCCATAAGTGGTTGCTATTTTTACAGTTTTCTTTTAAAGATAATCTACTGAATTTTTTTTGCTGATAACACTTAAGAGTGATGTTGTCTTCAAATGTAGATTTCCACAAGGAGTCAAGAGTATTACAGTCCAATATATTTTATAGGTGGTATGTGACAATTTACGAGTAACCGCAAATCATTTTTTTTCCCTTTTTTTTCCAAAAGTCTTGGATGATGAAGAATTATGACTTTCACCACCACTATAGTGTTCATATAAAGTCTGAAATTAAAAACACAAATCTGTTTGGTAATTTTTTAGTTCAATGTACTGTCATATTAGATGTATTTTGATGTATTCTAAATATAATACATTTATTTCACTCTTGCTCTTACAGTTGGGAAATTATTTTATAAGCTAATAGAGATAACAAAGAATTTTAAACACCAAGCTTGGTCTTAAGCATTACCTATCACGAGATGTAACTCAATCTTTCTATGAGAGAAATATAACAGAGCTACTAATAAACATACATATGAGACTTCAAGGCCTTATCTCTTTACTTTTTCTTAAATAAAGCTAGTCTTAGGTAAATTCCTATACAAAATGTATTTATAAGGAAACTTTATACAGATGATATTTTAACTAATAAATAGAAGACATTACAAATTATTATATAAATAAAATAATTAGATATATATTAAAATCCATGTATTTAAAAATTACTTAAGACTCAGCTAACATTTAGCTTATGAAGATGGCAGACATCTTTGCCCTCAAGGAATATACAACCTCAGTGATAAAAGTAACTAATCTACCCCAATTATAGCTATAAGAGGCTTTGAACAAGATATTAGTATAAATTTAAAACATGGAGATACAAAATACAGAGCAATTACAAAACATATTCGGTCCACTTTTAATTACTAAATCCATTGATTTAGCCATCAGCATTTGAGAAAATTTAAGAAAACAGTTACCTCATATCATATAAATGCAAATATAGTGAATGTATAGTAAATTCCTTCAGAAATGTACTCAAGTTCTTGGCAACTTAGATGGACTTTATACGTATCTAAAGAGCTACGAGTATTGATAGTTTTAAGTTCCCATAATTTTATGATAATTGTGTAACTGAAATATATAATTAGTAACTGCTTGTTGGCTAAACCAGTTGGTCAATAAGCATTCATGGGGTTCTAGTAATAACTAGGTGCTTGAAAAATCATGGTATAGATATAAATGGACATTGGAGGCTAAACAGCTTGAGACTTGTGCTTTCAGAATTGTGTTGACTGCTGTATACAGCTTCAAAAAAGCCATTAGATGTAATGTCTGTAAGGAAAAAACTGGCTAAAAGGAATGAATTCAAAAGCTGTGTTAATAATGGTGCTGAGTTAAAAGACACATTATATTCCTGAATGCACCTTCTGTGATGATCTACTTTGAACTGTAGTGTATGCAGAAGAATACAAATCAAGTACATCTGTATTTGTCAAAAGGCACATGTTAGGTATCTAAATGTAGAAACATGTTTCATAACTGATCTGATGATTGGACCAACTTTCCTTCACACTGTTTCCTTAAGTGTCGAATTCACTACATAAACCAGTTAAAATTAATGTAAAGAAGAGACATACTTACTTTAGCAGCTTTCAAAATGGAGTTAGGAGAATTCAGACCAACAAGTTGGCCCAGAACATATTTCATTTCTTCAGTGGTTCCCTTGGCCATTTGGTTACCTATAAAATAAATCAATAATACACTAATACCACTAAGAAAAATATAAGTCCATTATAAATACACATTTTGTTTAACAGCACAAGTGATATTCTTGTAATTTATCACTGATTTTAACCCCTTATCTGGAATAAGTAAAAATAAATACCATAAGTAAAGAAAAAAAAGTTTATTTACTTTACTATTTATAATAATGGAACTTCCTTAAGGAAAAAGGCAGGCTGACAAAGGGTAGGCAATTTAGATTCTGTCTTTGTTATATCAATAGGTAAAAGACTGTTTATATTACCAATCTAGTAACAGACAAATTTTTAAAGTAGTAGTACCTGGATGAGTTTGAATTTGAACGTATGGATGAGCCAGGAGCTCAGGAATGGATATCCTCTGTTTTGGGTCCCTTTTTAAACAACACTATTAAAACAAAGATATTTTAAAGAGAAACAAAGCAGGTTTTCATATATGACATTGATAAAGTATATTTCCAGATTACATTACATTATAAAAGTTGCTTTTTAGATATCCCACTCAAGTAATGATAGGATTATTTCTCCCAAGGCACTTTTGCAAAATCCCCAAGTATTTACAAGCTTTAAAACATCTTCAAAGTAAAAAACTAATTCAGTTAGCAATTCTTTTGAATAGAACAGTTATATCTAAGCCAGTTACACAATTCCAATTATTTCAGCATTTAAGTAAATAATTAGTTATATGATATTAATATTACCTTTAACACATCCTGAAGATCTTTCTCTGGAATATCAGGAAATTCAATTTCATGATTAGGATCAATTATGGCATGCAACTTAGAAATCTGATTAATTATATGCTGAAATGGTGTTTTCCCATAAGTCATATAGTACAAAATACATCCTAAGGACCAAACATCACTTTTGGGGCTTATCTAAGAAACAAACAAACACAAAAAAGTTGCTGTTATTTTCATGTAAAATGTAAAAACATATATATTATATATATTTAAAATCATAATTAAATCTCAATGAATGTGTACTACATTATGGTAACATGACAAAACATCTTTTTCTAGTTTTCATTTCAGTTGGTTATTCCATCAGAAGATATGAGCTTTACTTTAAATCTTTCTATAACCTCGTAAGTAAAATATTCCAATTAAGACAAAATATTAAATTCTTTCCAACTTGTGAAAATATAAACTAAAAAAGTAACTATAAGTTTTAAGTTTGTTTTCTCCAGAATTATTGGATTATAAATTTTTATATAAGTTCAAAGTATGTATACAGTTTTAAAGGTTGTTTAAATTATGCAACCCTTCAGATAAGACCATTGGAAATAATAAATAAATAATAAAACTTTAAACCCAAACGCATATATTATAGAACTATGCTGAGCTTGTGTGTCCAAAATCCCCAAGTATTTACAAGCTTTAAAACATCTTCAAAGTAAAAAACTAATTCAGTTATCTATTCTTTTGAATAGATCAGTTATATCTAAGCCAGTTACACAATTCCAATCATTTCAGCTATTTCAAGTAAATAATTAGTTATATGAAATTAATATTACCTTTAACATATCTTGAAAATGTGTTACTAACTGGTAATGCTATGTGTCTGTTTCCTCACCTCTGGTATAGACATTATAAAAGTACATTGTCACGGGCATTAAATGAAAAACCATAAATATGGTTAATCATAGAGAAAAGCTTCTGGTTATCGTAAGTACTGAAGTTGTAAAGCAAATGAAAATAGAATTGATAAATGAAGTCAGGAACTGCTTGTTTAAGATGAACAAAACCACAGAAAGTCTAATAAAAACACAAGAAAGTTAAGTTTTAGAAGAAGAGTGGAGGCTAAACAAATATAAAAAGAATTTTATGAAAACATTTGGCAAAATTTTATGCCAGTTATTTGAGAAACACTTAAAAGCCAGATTTTCTAAGGAGGAAAATATAATTTAGTAAAACAAAACAAAACAAAAAAACACATTTATCAAGCAATGATTCTGAGCTGGATAAATGTACTAAGTACTTTATATATTCTTTCCCATTTAATCCTCAGTTTATTTTATAATAGGCACCGTCTATAGGCACAATTTAGAGAGGCAGATCTATGGCTTGAATGAATGCAGGTCCCTGGGACAATTTGTGCTTGCACCCACTTGGTTACACTGATGTACAGAAAGGTTAGCCTGGGAGCCCAAGGCATCACAGTAGGTAAAAGGAGTCCCTGACAAAGGGCACCCAAGAGGCTAACACAAACTCATCGAGGTAGTGAGATAAAGTCAGTGGAAAAGTAGCCAGTGGCAGGCCAGAAAACAACTACATTCTCCAGCTGTACTTGGAAATGTAGAATTCACAAACGAATAAGTGGTGAAAAATAATAAGAATTGCAAACAAAAAAAACCAGCAATGTCTCTGTAATGGCCTAAAATGTTTTAGAACTTAAAGAAATTGCTATCTGGTAAGTTTATTCAGAAAACAGCGCATTCCCTACTGTTACCAGATAATTGCGATGTAAATAATCTTTTCAGTACCTTTGACTTAGACTTCCCATTCTCTCTGGAGGAAGACATATCTTTGATTGCTTCTGGTGGCATATAATTAACTGTGCCAACCTACACGCCAAGTCAGAGAAAACACAAATCAATGAAAATATTTCATTCTGCTTTAGATTCTTAAAAATACAAATGCCAGATCCTTGGAAACTTGGCTAATTATAGATTTCAACGATATCCTTGCAAACTTCAAATAACTGCTGACAATGTTAAGATATATATATCAAATTTCTTCCCAATTGCAGCAAAATGAGTTGGGTTCATAATCAGCAAAGTGACTCCTTTCAGAATGCTGTGCTTTTTCTGTGATTAGTGGGCAACTAGTAAAGTCTGCCCTAAAAACTGTCCAGGCTAAAATTCTATTAATGGCCATAAACTTTGAGGCCATTGAGGGACTTACCATTCGTTTCTGTGTTGTAACATATTCAACTTTAAAAATTATATTTTTTAAATAAGCCAACCAATACATAAACAAAAAGACCATCTAGCTTTGTCCCACAGTAGTCCTCTGAGTTTCTACAGCATGATATGCCAACCTTACAACAGCCTCATTTTCTTCTAAAATAAATGGTTTGCTTTAAACACAGAATATATCTACTTTAGGGCCTTGACATGGAAGATACTGTCAAGCTGATTTACAACTCATTGTTCTGCCATACTTTTGATATAAAGAGACATGACTCTCAAATAGGGCAAGTTGTCCATCTATTCCTCCTAACAAAGTCTATTTTACTCCTGGGATTAAGGTGAACTCACATCAAAAATCTGTAAACACAAAACATATCATCTTGGCTCCAAGCAAGAATATCTTTTAGATATACTTTGGTGCTATTGCTTTAGTTTTTATAGAACAACTTCATTAAGTTTGCTGTTACAATATCTATTATAAAAATGTTGCTTATAATACTTATGGCATTTACAATATGAAGGCCCATTTAAGAATTTTTTTTCCAATTTCACTGATAGGAAAAGGTCTGCTTCTCTAGAAGAATAAAAATAATCTTACCTCACGGACAATGAAAAACATATAACTGCAACTATCTCTTTGCTACAAGGAAACTCTGAGCCAAATTTTCAGGTCAATTTTTGATCATGACCAAGTGATTTCCAAGGAAGGTATTACTGTTTCTCTACTTCAGCTGTAGTAAAACCATTCAAAATTGCTGGGGATATTACCATTTGATCTTGATTTTCTAAATTATAATGATTATGGTTTATATTTTTAAACCCATTCTTATTAAAAGACTTCAAATCCTTTAGAGATGATTAAAAATATAATACTCATTTGCAATATAATACTTCACAGGTGAAAAAAGAATTGAACTCTACTGTGAGATAACCAACATTAAAAGTCTTACCTGAGAATCTTTAACAATACTTGTTGTATCTGGTTGCATTTGGTTTGCGATCCCAAAATCGATTAGCTTTAGCATTCCATCAACTATCAGAAAGTTAGCTGGTTTAAGATCACTGTGAACAATGCCTTTAAAATAAAATTCCACTATAATATTAAACAATGCAAAACATCCTAAGGACCAAAAAATTCAGTCTACAGGTCAAGCTGTATTTATTCCTTCAATTAGTGAATCCAATTCGATATTTATTTTTTTATATATTCTGAAAACACTTACATAGCACTTGATATGTGCCAGGCACTGTTCTAAGCTCGTTGTTTATACAGTACTGAATCATTTAATCTTCACAACAATGCTGAAGTATTATCATCATCCCCATTGTAAGGCAAGGAAGCTAAGGCAATGAGAGTTTAAGTAACTTGTACAAGGTCACACGGCCTAAGTGACGGTGCCATGAGTTGAAGCCAGACAGTCTGGCTTCAGAAATCTATCCTCTTAACCACTGTGATTCACTGCCCACTAGAGAGCATCATAAATTATACTGTCAGACAGTAAGACCCTAATGCTCCTGACATCTCCACCCCATAGCCCTGATCTTGATCACTGGTGAATTATCTTTTAACTTATAGAAGGAGGGATATAAGGAGGAGATAAATTACAATTAACTAGGATAACAGTACTAAGAACAAAAAAAATATATAGGATAAGGTAAAGGCAGAGAAAAACCCTAAAAAGAACCAAGGACAAGTAAAAACCAACCCAGAAGGTAGGTCTAACAGTAAAAAACAAACCAAAAAAAAACAACTCTCACATAGGGCATACAATACAAAATGATTAGGAGAATGAGTAAACATCTCATATTTTTTAGGATGCCTGAACCCCAAAGTCTTAGACCTGCTATAATCCAAGTATTTGGAGATAAAGATGACAGACTACATTAATACTGAGAAAAATACATTTTGTATTACAGATGTCGGAACTTGAGTTCGTGTCCTATATCCTTTGGGTTAACAGTGTTTTAAGAAATGGTTTTGTTCCTTTATCTTTAAATAAACTTCTAATTATTTAGTTCATCTAGTTAAAGATACCAACAACCAATGCCTTAAAATTATAGGTATATTTCTCTAAGATGACACTATTAACAAATATTTTAACCTTACAAATATAAAAAAACCATTAAATACCATGTTGATGGATTGTGTGAACTGCCTCTAACATATTTTTCCAGTAACTCTTGCGTTCCCATGGATCAATGGACTTTTTCTTTTTAAGCCAACTATTAAGATCAATATTTCCACACTCCATTACCATGTAGATGTAATGGTCCGTGATTTCACTGTAATTAAACAAATAAAAACAACAAAACAATAAATGGCTAGGTTATATCAAAGTTTACTAAATATTTACCTGAAGAACTATAGCAAAAAGTTTTCTTTTTAAATTTAAAAAGGATTCTTACTAATCATAAAGTCGGATGATCTTATCACTGTGTTGTTGTAGTTTATTCAAATAAGCTATTTCGTTCCGGTAACTATCAAGAGTTTGGTTATCTGCTTCTTCTAAGTTCACAAATTTTATAGCATATATCTGTTTCTTTTCATTCAACACCTGAAATACCTACACAGTAGAACAAAGAGAAGTTTAGAATGTACTATTTATACACTGTCACACAATGATTCTAAATGTATTAGAATTTTAGGTTGAGAAAATTCTAAAGGAAATACTGATATGAACAATGAAAAGTTTCGGGCCTATTTTGAGTGTAGAAGGAGAGAAATAATTCTGATAGCAGAGTTACAATCCATTCCCAACGACCTATGATGATGGGCATTCAATAATTTAAAGGTATAAATCTAAAGTTTCTATATCAACATGTAAGAAAAGTTTAAATTTCATATATATAACAATCTGTTGGATGCCCTAACCAGGGAAACAGCATAAAGAAAAAGACATCCCAAAATGTTAAGGACAAGCCTGGTGTAGTCGTGTGCTCCTTTAATCCCAACTACTCAGAAAGCTGAGGTGGGACAATTGCTTGAGGCCAGGAGTTTGAGTCCAGCCTCAGCAAGATAGTGAGACACTGTCTCAAGGAAAAAAAAACAGTTAAGGATGACTAAAGGCTATGGTATAGAGTCAATTCAATTCACAGATGTTGTTTTCTCCATAGTGCCGCGACTTAGCAATTTCATTCATGTGATAGAAAATATTAAAAAATATATACTAATCATAAGCTATCAGTATATCCAGCTGTGAATAGTAGAGTAGGTTAGGTCTGCATTTCAAAGTAAAGCTGGCAGGAACAAGATGTTCTTGTATGTTGTCAGGATCTCTGAGATCAAAGTCCAATTGCTCTGGCTATAAAAGATGGTCAATTCCTAAGTAACATTTATAGGACAGATAACATTTTTTAAAATAGAAAACAATGCAAATGTAGCTAACTTTCCGCAGAAATGCAACAAGGATGGTGCTTTTAAAACTCAATTCAAATACAAAATGCCTGTGTATACAAGAAAAATTATATTCATTTACCCCTTTTGACATATTTAAGTAAAAAATCATTTAACCTTGACTGCCCAGCAGATACTGGGAAGGAATAAGAAAAGAGCCCAAGTGTTTATGAGGTTGATGTGCTAGAACTGCACTAACAAGGAGAATTTATTAGGCCCCTCAGGTATAGCTTGTGTTTAAGTTTTAAGTATGAAACTCGAATGAAGTATTACTGGTTTTAGTTGGATACACAGCAAATTAGAGGGGGATGGGGCATAAGAGGGATAAGAAAATAACAATACAACAGATATTTAAAAATAGCAGCATAAAGCCATTTTGTAAAAGGTAAATAACCTCATTAACCCATGACCCTGAATGTGATGGCTAATGCCTTATTTGTATGTTCTGGTAGTATATTTGTACAATGAAATAGCTTTGTATCATAAAAATAAAATTTAAAGATTAGAAAACATAGGATATGAAACTTAGGAAAGACTATAGGAAATAACTGTATTTGAGCTCCAGCTCCATCTTTATCAGCAACCTAACTTTGGGCAAGTTCCTTAGTCTCTCAAAACTCAAATGCTGTTAGTAGTACCTACGGCACAGGATTGGAAGGATGACTCAGATGACTGATGTCTGCAGTGCGTTCTGTAGTGTGTCTGGAGTGAAGCAAATGTTAGCTACCATCACTGAAGACATTCAGGACAGAATAAAGTGGACATTTTAAAACATGCTAAAGTTTTCGGACATATCAGAAAAAAAAAGTACAGGATACTAAAGCTATTTATGTAATAAGATCTTAAAATTAAGTAAACAAATGAAAACTTTTAAATCAACTTTTTGTATGAATGAGTTTATTATTGCCCCCACTGTCCCTGTTCCGGCAAAACTCTTGCAATCTGGTTTAGGTAAGCCTTATTTCAATTTCATAGAGATCGTGTCAGAATTATGATTTGTTAGTTTTATGGGAAGTTACCAGTGTCTTGACCATTCTCATTACCCCATGACTGTTCTAGATACTCTCAATAGACTCCTTAAAAGTTGGTCACTGCCTAAACTCTGAAACAGGCAAAGCATAAATGGTATTAGTTTCATAAAGCATGTTACTTTCTTTGAGGCATTTGATTTTTTTCAACTCCATCATAATTAACTTAAATGATAATTTAGTTGAATTCAGAAAATATGGGCCAGCCATCGCTTTATCACTTGGCCCTTGACTTAAGCTTACACCTTCATTATACTCCAAGGAAAAAAATGTTAAAATGCCATTAAAATGCCACTCTACATTCTCTGAAAACATACCACTAAATAAATACCTCTATTAAGTGTCATTACCTTGATGCTACTAAAATATAGCCAAATAACAAATAAATAATATCAGCCAAGTAATTTTTATGAAAGCAACTAAATTAGGTAATTCAAATAGACTGATAAAAGGAAATGTATAATGAAACCAATATTTATTGAAGAGTTGATACACATGGGAATGCACATACCTTATTTATTTATTTATTTATTTGAGACGGAATCTTGCTCTGTCACCCAGGCTGGAGTACAGTGGCACGATCTCGGCTCACTGCAAGCTCTGCCTCCCGTTCACACCATTATCCTGCCTCAGTCTCCCGAGTGGCTGGGACTACAGGCGTCCGCCACTACACCCGGCTAATTTTTTTGTATTTTTAGTAGAGACGGGGTTTCACCCTCTTAGCCAGGATGGTCTCTATCTCCTGACCTCGTGATCCGCCCACCTCAGCCTCCCAAAGTCCTGGGATTACAAGTGTGAACCACCGCACCCAGCCATCCTTATTTTTCATAAGTTAATAAGGCAGCCTTATGCAAGTCTAATTACTGTTAGTGAGATTAGGAAATTACAGTAAAACTTAAAATGAGTCCAACAGTTTTTGTTTAATGTGTTTAATGTGTTTTGTTTAATTTGTTTAATGTGTTTTGTTTAATGTGTTTAACAACTTATAATAGCAAAAGAGCTTAGGACGGACAGCTTACTCATTCAACTAATAAATTCAATCCCTATCTGTTCTAAGTACTGTTCTGGATACTGGGGCTAGTATCACTGAGCAAATCAGAAAAACATCACTATCTTCATGGAGCTCACATTCAAGTGCAGGGGGACACAAACAACAAATCAAGTAAGTAAATTACAGAATGTGTTAGAAGGTAAGATACACAGAAAAACAAACCAGGCGGGGAATAGAGAACATTGGTGATTAAAGGTAGGAGTTGCAGTTTTAGAGTGTGGGCAAGGAAGGCCTAACTCAGAAGACACATGATGATATCTAGAAGAAAACAGGATGTTATGTTAAAATAGGCCAGGAAGAACTGAAATAAGCTAACACAGAAAGACAAATACCTCATGTTCTCACTTATATGTGAAATCTAAAACAATTAATCTCATAGAGAAGAGCTCATACCACTTTTGACAATAGTGGTTACCAAAGGCTGGAGGTTGAGGGAAATGGGGAGATGTTGGTGAAGGAATACAAAGGCTCAAATAGGAGATACAAGTTTGGTTTTTTTTTAGATGATTAGCATAGCATGCTGAAAATAATAATTGGATACTATACATTTCAATATTGCAGAGTCAACTGCTAATGTTCTCATCACACAAAAAAATTGAGGTAATAGATGTTAATTCGCTTAATCATTTCACATTGTATTAAAAAAGCTAATACCACCCTGTACCCCATAAAAATATACAACTATAATTTGTCAATATACAATTTTAAAAAATAGACCAGGAGGGCAAGGACTGAGTCAATGAAATCCTTTAGGAGGCTACTAAAGTAATTTAGGTGAAAATACAAAAGTTGCCTTGACCAAAACAATAATGCTGGAGATGATGAGAAACAGATTCTGGAGATACTCTGAAGTAGAACCAACCAGATTTGCTGATTGGCTAGATGTGTGTGTGAGAGTAAGAGGCACCAATTTTTTGGTCAATCAATTGGAAGAATGAAGCTGCCATTTACTGAAATGGGAAAAGCTATGGAGCAAGAGTTGTGTTTGGACATATTGTTTTAAATGCCTGGTAGACACTAAGAAGCGATGTTGAATAGTCAAGTTGAATATACAAGTCTGCAATTCAAAGGAGAGGTACGAGCTGGAAATACAAGTTGGAGAATTGTCGGCATATACATGATATTTGAAACCACAAGACTGAAAGAGAACACCAACAGAATGAGTTTAAGAAAAAGATGAAAGAGGGTTGAGGACTAAGCCCGGAAGCACTGCTTCACTGAGATCAGGAACATGAGGAAAATAGGTATGGCCAGTTTGAGAAGAGAAAAACACAAACCAAGTGTGGAAAAAAGCTTGATTGAGAAAAAAAAATCAGTTGTCCCAAATGCTAAGTAATCCAAAATCTAAGCTAAGAATCAGATATGGCAAAAAAAATGGAGGTCATTAGTGGTCTTGATTACAGTTATTTTGGTGAATGATGAAGGCAAAAATCTAACGGAAGTAGATTTAATTGAATGATAATTAAAGATGGTACATTTAGATAATGCTTAAGATGCCTTCAATCTAGAGATGTAAAATGATATAAATTTAGAACTCACGTAAGTTTAGAAAATAATCTAATTCCAGAAATTCACTTGTTACTGAATTCTGTTTCTGAAATGAATAACTGAAAACAAAACAAAATCCATCAGCAAAAATCCTTGCTGAATGATTCTAAACATATTAGCAATTTACATCACATTCTGACTCAGAAATTTCTGATTCTTTTGTGATAATACATAGTGGTCATTCACTACCCCATGTCAATGTTTTTGTTATTAAAGAAGAAGTTTAGAAGCATAGGACATTGAAAGGAAAGGCAGGAGACGGGGAATAAGAAATCTAAAGAAGATATGTCACATGTGAGGCAGTGGGAAGAGAAGGGCAGGTGTTAAGATGGCTTTTTGGCTCAAGGGCAACATGGCCCCTAGAAGTTAAGGAAAAGCAGCCCTCACAGGTAAAAAGACAAAAAAATAGAAAGTTTAAAATATTTTTATTTATTTCTTAAATATTTTAAGATACTTACCTTGCTTGAACCTCCACTTCCTATCTGCTTTAATATGGAATAAATTCTTCCTTTAACCGAAATGCATTCATTTGCTGAAGAGGATGCTAAAACCTAAATAAGTAAAATATATAAATAAAAGTTCAATCAATATGCCTAAGAAACTAGCTTACATTTGGTATAGTCAACTGCTCCCCATTTTGAAATTATCTTAAATCTTAATTAGAAATGTTACAATATTTTTAAAAGGACTTGCTCTACTTAAATAAAAAAAACCTTAAAAAATAATGTAGACAAACTTCTAAGATCTCCCCCTTTAACTGGTTTTGACTTCAAAAGAAATTTCGAGGAGGAAAAAAACACTTAATATGCAATCTGCAAACTTATAAGCTTAAAAAAAATATAAAAACTAAAATATAAAATTATATTTTTCATATTTCTTTTCTTTTTCCTTATACCTCTTTACTTACATATGTACATATACACACACATAATTATATCTGTATTTTTTTTTTTTTTTTTTTGGAGATAGGGTCTCATTCTGTCTCCCAGACTGGACTGCAGTGGCATGATCTCGGCTCACTGCACCCTCTGCCTCTGAGGCTCAAGCGATTCTCCTGCCTCAGCCTCTCGAGTAGCTGGGATTACAGGCATGCCACTACCATCCGGCTATATCTGTATTCTTCTTTCTCATTTAGCGTTATATTATAAAGGAAGCAATGTGCTAAGGTGCTAAGAGCTCTAGAGTCAATGAGACAAATGCAAATTTCAGCAATGTCCCTGACATGGTTTGGATCTGTCAAATTTCATGTCAAATTATAATTCCCAATGTTGGAGGTGGGGCCTGGTGAGAGGTGACTGAATCATGGGGGTAGATTTCCCCCTCAGTGCTTCTCTGAGAGTTCTCAAGAGATCTGGTGGTTTAAAAGTATGTGGCACCTCCCCACAACTCTCTCTCTTCCTCCTGTTCCAGCCATGTGACATTTGCTCCCTTTCACCTTCTGCCATGATTGAAAGTTTCCTGAGGCCTCCCCAGAAGCCAAGCAGATTGCCAGCATCATGCCTACTGTACAGCCTGTGGAACCATTAGCCAACTCTACCTCTTTTCTTTATAAATTACTCTCAGATATTTCCTTATAGCAGTGTGAGAACTCATTAATACAGCCCCACACTTTGTGCTGAGTGATATTCAAAAGTTACTTAATTTTTCGGAACCTCAGCATCTTCCCCAGCAAACTTTCAGGTGATGTACTATACAACCTGCCCCATCATCCCTTTCCTTATACTGGAGGATCTCTCTGTGTACCTATAAATGCTTTGAACAGATGGAGTGCTGAGAGGACTTATTCTGAGCTGATAAAGAAGTTGAAACTAAAAGAGCTCCTGATTAGCTGATTAACCAAGTTGAAATAAGGTCTGAATAAACCTCAATTTAACTAAGGCCTGCTTTAGGTTCCAAATGGTAGACTCTCTCATGTAATCTCCTATTTAAATAAAAAGTTAGTATTCTAATTTTTTCACCTCTAGGATTGAGATACACTGTTGAGTCCATATATATTTTCTGTAACAAAGTGTTGGGCTTTTTGTGTTGTAATTTCATCATTTCCCCACTCCTTTCTTTTGTGCCTCCTCTCTCTTCTTCCTTTCATATTTAAAACTGTGAACATTGCCGAGGGAAGAAAGCAGTTCAATGTCCTTTCCCCATGGCTGCTGACAGTTTTTAAAATAAAATAGTTCTTATTTGTGATTCAACACTAATGTGAACTCCAGTTTCCTATACAGGACATTCCACATCCCCCTTAGTCTGCCCTACTCACTGTGGTTAGAGTTTCCAAAATGCAAATCGGCTCATTTCACTTTCCCTGCTTCAACCTCTTCCAAAGCTTCCCACCCTCTTAGGGTAAAACTTAAGGGCCCAGCAAACCTTGGGACTCACCCCTTCCCCTTCCTGAGCTCTAGCCACACTGTGGCCTCTTTCAGTCCTCTCCTGACACTGGCCTCTTCTAGAAGGCTCCACCAAGCCCCTTCACTTGTCATCTGTGACTCGTCTTCTGGACTGCAACTCAAACAGGGCCTGACAGTAATAGCTAAATAAACGTGTTTTGAATCAATGCATGAACAAACTTGATCATTTTTCTTTTTCCTCTGTAATTTATTATATTGTTTCAATCCTCAAAACACTATCACCTCTTTCTAGTTAGTATCGACTGTCAGTTCATTGTTTTATCCATTATTCTTTCAAACTGCGCAAATTATACTAACGCAAAATTTACCACTTTAACCATTTTTAGGTACAACTCAGTGCATTAAGTACACTCAGTATGTGATGATGAAAAAGTTCTGGAGATGGATGGTGGTGCAAATATCATCACTGAAACTCTATACCCATTAAACAGTAACTCCCCATTCCTCCTTTTCCCTTCCCTGATAACCACTGTTCTTATTCTGTTGACTAATTTTTTTATTAGTTGATTTTTATAGTTAATTACTCATGGGTTTTTTTATTGTTTTATTTAAATAACGACTGCTGCTAATATTTCTGATTTACTAAGTGTCATGCTCTGTATTAGGAGTTACATATATATTAACTAATTTAATCTTCATAACCATCGTAGGAGATAGCTAGCTGTATTAATTTTATAGATGATGACATGGGCACAGAAAGTTTAGGTAACTTGCAAAAGATCACAGAGATGGTAAATAGTGAGGCCAAGATTCATGCCCAGTGTCTCCAAGGCCCACATTTTCTAACAGTTAATTAAGCTGCCTCTAGGACAGTTATCAGAAACCAACTTTTGCCTCATCAGCAAAAAAATCTTTCCTCTTAGTTTACAGTTATTAGTATAATACATTCTAGCAGTACCTCATATTGCTATTCTGATATTTTTGAAAATTTACATTTCCAAATGAATTGTATACTAACAAACAAAATGAAGCTGCTCACAAGCAGCTGACAAAACACAACAAAAAGTAACCTCGGCCAGGTGCAGTGGCTCATGCCTGTAATCCCATAACTTTGGGAGGCTGAGGCGGGCGGACCGCTTGAGGCCAGGAGTTCGAGACCAGCCTGAGCAACATGGTGAAACCATGTCTCTAGTAAAGATACAAAAATTAGCCAGGTGTGGTGATGCGTGCCTATAATCCCAGCTACTCGGGAGGCTAAGGCACGCAAATCACTTGAACCTGGGAAGCAAAGGTTGTAGTGAGCCGAGATCGCGCCACTGCACTCTAGCCTGGGCAAGAGAGCGAGACTCTATCTCAAAAAAAAAACAAATAAATAAAAATAAAAAATAAAAGGTAGCCTTGATTATAAGAGAAGTTTTATCCAGCTATTCAAACTGGATCCTTTGGCCTAGTTAAGAGTAACTTCATCAGCTTCTTCAATAATGAACCTCTCAAAGCCACAAGGCACACTCTTATCAGGATAGCAGGAAAGTTTTGTCTAGTGGAAATGAGAATGGCCAAGTTCTTAAGACCTTTCCTGATATCTAGATGCTATAAAAATAAAAGCTGTAAAACTGATTGTATCTTAACATATACCATCATATATAAAGCTTATCGAACCTGTAAATTTTGAAGTGGAGTAGCAGGTATTTGCTGCTGCTGCTGCTGGAAACAGGCAGGTTGGCCATAGGGTGTTGACAACTGACAAGCAGGTGGAAAGTCATTCTTTACAACTGGAGTTCTAAAACTAGGAAATATATATATTTTTTATTTAAAACATTACAATTTAATAAATAAGATTCTGATTGTTTTCAAGTATTTTAAAAGGCTGATATAAACTTAAAAGTGCTACATCAAACAGAACCCAAGTCAGTTTACATGATATAGCTGACATTTATTCCAGATATGCCACCACCGAATATTTAATTTTGGGGAATTCTTTCTGAAAGTAAATATTTGTATGCAGACAAGAAATCTTTGTTTGTAAGATAAAAAAGATGGCATTTAAAATACGAAGTAGTTAGAGTTATTTTATACGAATTTAGCAAACGTCAGCTTACGGCCGGTCACAGATTTTGAGTGTTTTTTTAAACAGTATTGTTCTATAATGGCTTGCTAGAAACATCAGAAAGCCAGTTACGTCAGAGGAGTTTGGCCTTTGAGCTTAAATCTGTCCAGCATACATTTGTGCTTTGTTTGCCTTGTTTGCTATTAATATATCCTCAACACCTAGAACAATGCTTGGCACGAAAGAGCTCCACAAATATTTGTTAACAATAATTAACTTAATGTCACAAGAAATATCTATTATTGCTATTTTAGTTAGCAATCATTCTTTAAAATATTCTACATATAATAAAACGAGGCAATATATAGTAAAACTATATTAAGTAGGTAAGAGGCTGGGTTATAAAATCTTTAAGGCCAGTTCTAATTAAGATCAAGAATTACATTATGAAAATGAAACGTAAAAGATGACATGGATTTAAGCTATCCCCCAAGACATTAAAGATATAGCCACTGGTTGATGGTTGTAATGTACCACACCCCTTTATTTCCTTTCTCTGAAATGTCATTCATTTTTTTTTGTAGTATCCCTTGCGTTCCCTGTCAGCACACTCATCATCCAACTTCTTCACTTATCCATCATTCCTATCCACTCAAGTACTACACCCTTGAATATCCCCAGAACTACATGAACTGTAGCAACCAATCTCTTCCAGAAGCTATCACTTTCCAATTACCACCACTCACGTGAAAAAATTCATCTACTCTTTATCCGCTCTAAGAATACTAACCTTTAAAATCTCTCTCTCAATAGAGAGACATCTGCATGGCAATACATGATTATCAAGACGTTTTACATCCTTAGAATATTTATAGGTTGTAGGTACAGATTACAATATGACAGAAACTACATTCACAACAATCCTTAAAGATATGTATTTTTGCAACCACTTTCCCCTTTCCATTTTATAGATGAAAACAATGATGCTGAGAAAATAATATGAAGTTGGAAAGTCTTTAAAGTAAAAGAGCAGGATTTAATCCCATATTTATTTGGCCCAGAAGCCCATGTTAATTCTATCATATCACCCTGCCAATCAAGCAAGGGGCCAAAAGTAATTACCAGCTCATGTAATCATCCAAGGTATTGCTGCTTGGTGTCTTACAAATAGATTTTGGGTCAAACCATTTAGATGCTGACATTGGCGGTGACTGTTTTGAAACTGAAAAGACAGGTTGCTCAAAAGTGGTGTGTTTCTGCTAAAACAAAATAAGGAACACTATGATTTAGAGTTTTTAAATTAGTTGCCTGTTCACTAGTTTTTACAAATATTACAACTTTTAACATAAAACAATAACATATGATATACAAAAACATACTAAAAGGGGTAGGCATATAAATATACATTTTAGACTCTCAATAAATTTTTTAGTGTAGTTATTTTACTCCAAATTCTTAAGCCTAGTACATTCTGCTCAAACTGATGGCAAGTACAGGGAAGGCACACAAAATTGTTTAAAACAGAATTTAACATTCTCCTCTATCAGAGCTATTGTAACAGGTATTAAATTCTTATAATCTAAAATAGTAGTCTGTGTTGCTGAAAATCAGCCTTTCTTTAATCAATAAAACTCTATTCCCTTCTCCTCAAATGCGGCAGAATACTAATTACTTAGCAAAACGTGGAACGACAAATGCCTATATTGTGTCTGCCATAAGAAGAGACAGAACCTGCAGAAATTCTTTTTCCAAAAGCATTGTAAAAAAAAGAACCTGTAGGATTCATCCCGTACAAACACCAATGATGAAAGAACATTCGCTGTAGCAGAGATCAGCAAATTACAGCCTACAGGCTCAGGCTGAATGTGGCCTGCTGCCTGCCTATTTTTGTAAACAAAGTTTTATTAGAACATGGCTATGCCAATTTGTTTACATACTGTCTATCGCTTTTATTTTCATGCTCTAATAGCAGAGGTGAAAAGTTACAACAGAGTCCTTCTAGCCTGCAAAGCCTGATAACCCCTTTATAGAAAGTTTGCTATAACCCCTGCTGTAGCACATCTCAATTAAATAGAGAACCAAGTTTTGCTTGAATACTTTTAGTAACTAAGCATCACTAGTCTACAGAGGTTCACTTCAATTTTGGGACAGCTTTAGTTATTAGAAAATATTTGCAAATAAATTGGATTAAATTGGTTTATCTAGTATAATTTCAACACACTGGTCCTCATTATGCACTTGAGAATTACAGTGGCTAAATCTATCCTACTTTCTACATTTCAGTCTTGGCCAAGAATTTTTTTTCCAGGAAAAATTTTCCCTCTTATTTAATACTTCGTGTGTCTATGCTTACGTGCAAGCATGCACATATTTTAGGATTAGTGGTAAAGATGTTACTGAGGAACTGCTGTAGTAAGATTAATGAACAAGGAAAATGAAAGAGATCATGCTCATAGAGTGGAATGTCTGCATTTGCGATTTTAGAGGTCAGAATTGAGGATATAAGGAGTGGGTGGCTAAAGTAAAATTAAGGAAATGGTCATGAGATAGGAAGAAGTTAGAAAAATGAAGGCCAGCTGTAGGACTGGTAATACACAGGAGTGTAGAAGCCAACAAAAACAGTGACAGTTGTTGGGATCTGGTTGATCCAGAGCCTAATATCTTCAAGGAATGATGGGGAGTCACCAGGACTTTCAGAGATTGAGAGTAAGTCAAAAGCATCAAAAGAACAGGCCTTTACAAGAAAGAGGAAGAAATGGTCTGGACACAGAACAGAGAGCACATAGCCATTTGGTAAGTGAGATGTGAGACAAAAACATTCCTCCCTTGAAGGGACTGCTGGACAAGCTGTATCCACAAGAAACTGCCTCGATTTTATACTTTTTCTTTTTATGTGTACTATCCAATGGTTTTTAGTTGTGCAATGGTTCACAGCTGTGCAACCATCACCACTATCCAATTTTAGAATATTTTCATCTTCTAAAAAGAAACCTCATACCCATTAGTAATCATTCCCCACTCCCCACTGCTCCCGGCCCCTGGCAACCACTAATCTACTTTCCACCTCTATGGATCTGCCTATTCTGATGATTTTATCTAAATGGGATCATTAAATATATGGGCTTTTGTGGTGAGCTTCTTTCACTTAGCATATTGTAAATGTTAACTTATGTTGTAACATGTACTAGTACTTCATTACTGTTTATTGTTGATTAATATTCCATTGTATGGATGTACCACATTTTGTTTATCCATTCATTGGTTGGATATTTTGTTATTTCCACTTTTTGGCAATTATGAAAATGCTACTATGAATATTTATGTACACATATTTGTGTGGATGTATATTTTCAGTTCTCTTAACTACAAACCTAGGAGTGGAATTACTGGATCATATAAAGCTATGTTTAACCTTTTGAAGAACTCCCAGACTGTTATCCAAAATGACTGCACCATTTTACATTTCCACTAGCAGCATATGAAACTTCTAAAATTCTCCACATCCTCACCAACACTTGTTATTGTCTCTTTAATTAAAGCCATCCTAGTGGGTGTGAAGTAGTATCTAATTATGGTTTTGATTTGCATTTCTTTAATGATCCATACAGTCTTCAGTTCCCTTACAATCCTATTAGTGTACAGTTTCCAAATAGAAAAAAAAGAGGAGATGCTTGTTTGATACAATCTATGACTCAACCTGTCAGGATCCTTATCATCCGGCATTTGTTATCTATATCTACTACTTACAGATCTTACTATGACAATATTTACCTTTCTCACTTTTATTTTCTCATGAATATATACAGGAGTTTTCTAGAGACTGTATGACATGTAATAATGAAATACATTGAATGCAAAAGCAGACATAAGAATCCAGTCTTCTGTTAAGCCAAATGTTAGATTTGCAAAAACTGTAAAACAATGCTACTCTTCTCACTGTAGTTCTTTTGTTTCAGAAAATACATATTTTTCATAATAATGCATTTATATTCACATGAGTTTATCAGTAATTTTTGTTTTTTTTTTGAGATGGAGTCTCGCTCTGTCGCCTAGGCTGGAGTACAGTGGCACGATCTCTGCTCACTGCAAGCTCTGCCTCCCGGGTTCAAGCCATTCTCCTGCCTCAGCCTCCCGAGTATGCTGGGACTACAGGCACCCACCATGACGCCTGGCTAATTCTTTGTATTTTTAGTAGATACAGGGTTTCACCGTGTTAGCAAGGATGATCTTGATCTCCTGACCTGGTGATCCACCCGCCTTGGCCTCCCAAAGTGCTGGGATTACAGGCATGAGCCACTGTGCCCAGCCCTCACTTATTTTTAATTAATTAATAAACATTTTTAAAATTTCTTGGTTTTACATCCTAATATAGTAAATAGAGATAAATATAATCAACATAAACAAAAGCTCTTTAGGAGCATTGATAATTAAGAGTATAAAAGACCAAATGTTTGAGAACCACTGAATTAACAAAGCCTTTACTGTATTTACTACAAGTCACTGAAAAGAAATGGTAAGGAAACTATGGCCATGAACTGCAGCTATAGCTCTCTAGTATCCTACTTGATCATTCCTTCTGAAAAGCCACCAGGAATGATCATTCAGTATGTTACAAATTCATGTACAGTGTCTAGGCTGTATTTTTCTATTTTTCTATTTTTATCAATGAGTATGACCATAGGAAACTGTTAAGCGCTTGGGACAGCACTGTGCTAGTTCAGAGATCAGCACACAGTTTTCTGCAAAGGACCAGATAGTAAACATTTTAAACTTTGCAGGCCAGGTGGTCTCTAATACAACTAATCAACTCTGCTCTTATAATGCAAAAGCAGCCATAGACATTAAACGGATCAGTGTGTCAGTGTTCCAATAAATCTTTACACAATCAGGCTAAGAACTAGATTTGGCCCATAGCACCAGTCTATTGGCAATCTAGAAATACTATTGAAGATAGAAAATAATTTAGCCTGACTTACTGAATGTATGACTGCTACTGAACACCATTTTATAAATGATAAAAAAAAAAAACCTTTAAATAAACTATTCTACTAAATTTCATATATATTTAATAAAAGAAAACATTTAATATGATCATCAAACTTCAGAAATGCATTATGAACAAAAATGCAATGTTGTACTGTAGTGGAAAAGTTACCTCTATATTAACCTTTCGGGCTAACTCTGGAATCTGCCACTGATTTGAAGATGCAACAGGATTCTGGTTAATACATGCTGACTTTCTCTTAGATTGCCACTGTTTCTGGTTACTCTCTGGAACCTCTGGTTCTTGGTACTCTTTAGTTTCTGAAATTGTATTTGTTGTCATTAAAAAGCAAGAATATTTGATCATAATAAACTAAGCCTAAACAATAGAACATGTTATAAACTATATTAGTATTTAGTTCTTAAAAACAATCAAGGAGGGAGAGAAACTGAAAGCTTTAAGCCAGCTACTTAACAATTTGCTTTTAGCAAGTCAATTTCACAAAGTTGCACTATAGTCATCTTCCTAAATTGTTACTAAGAACTTTGTCAGAGACCCTGCCACATTTAAATGCTTCTTTACCAATAAATAAGTAAAAATGTAAAAACATACAGATGTTATAAAGTCTTACTAAAAGAGAAGCTAATTCACTTTTCATGGACCGAGTATCCAAGTCTCAAAATGCATTTTAGAACCTTTTTTTTTCCTTTTTGCTTTCAGTCTCAAAGCATACTTTCAAACTCTTTAGTTTCTCCCTTTCCCACCAGGCACTTCCAGGAACAGTGTTCACTTATCTAATCATGTACTTGCTTAGAAATTTCAGGGGCCAGTTTTGAAACGAACCAAGCAGAGATGGAGCTGCAGACTCCTCTTGCTTAGGGCAGTTTCCATCAGTTAGCCTAGCAGTACCCAGTGAAGTCAGGATGACACAAACCTTACCTCCAGATGGGCGACGACTCAATATAACCATCAGAACAAGACATTCAGACCTGCACCACTCCCACATCTCTCCCACACCTTTTCTTTCCCAAACCCCTTCACTCAGCCCAAAAAGTTGAAATGGTCTTTTGAGGGCATGAGCCTGGCCAGTCCCCAGCTGCAAGCATTTGATTAATAAACTGCTTTCCTTTCACCACACCTCACTTCTCGTGTTTTTGGCCTCTGTGTGGTGAATAGCCAGACTTGAGTCAGTTACAAACGTGGTGCCTTGTGTGAGGAACCGTGTGTTTTGAGGGGCTCAGCCTGTACACCTGGTTTCCAACAAGTGGAGCAATTGGCTGTGGGAGCAGGCCAAGGCTCACCCATTCAGGCTACCCGGCCAAGGCAAGGGCCACTTGCAAACGCCAGCTGCTCGTAGCTAGCTGACCCTGCAGTTGGGACCTTAAGGAATTCCCAGCAGCTAGGGAGACCACCCTTGTCTCAAGGATTTTTCTTTCCCTTCCCTTTGCTGTAACGCTCAGTTAGTGAAAGGAAAGTGGCATCTGGGAAGTCAACGGAATTCAAGGGTTGGATAAATCAACCAGAGTGTACTGGGAAATCCTCTGTCTTAGCCATCTGCACTTTCTAGTTGTCTGGACCTAGTATAGGTCATCTGTGGTGCCATTTGGGCCTCTTTGCCATCTGGACCCAATGCAGGTCACTCTGCAATGCTGTCTGGGTTTGAGAAAAGATCTCAGCACTTATCTCCAGTCTCCCCTTTTTGGGGATGGATTTGGAGTGCTCCATCTGCATTGGATCTGCCTGTGTTTGTGTCTCTGTTTAGCATTATCCCTCTCTCCGAGAGTGCTTTGAAACTGTCTCCATCCCACCCAGCAAGATAGGCTGCTCCTCTCCTCGCTAGTGGAGAAATGCTTTCCAACAACCTGGCCTCTGATTTTTGTCATACTCTTGGACTCCAGAATATTTCTTGTATCTGTCAAGCTTTGTTAGGGGAGAAAGCATGTGAGCTCTTTCCTGGACTATCTGGGACTCCAGCTGGTTACACAGTACATCCCATTTTTGTGCACATTTTAAAACTATGGGCAAATTACAGTAAGAAAAATTCAGAGTTCAAATGGTTAACCTGCAACTATAAAATTAAACAGTCTTCTAAAGCTAGCTCTCTGTTTTATCTTTTCTTTTCTGCCTGTTTTGAATGTGCTATTATGCTACTTGAGTTGAGATAAAACTCACTGTTTAAACACCACTTGGAGAGTTTGGTTTTTTATTTTTCTTATACAGTTCAGCCAGTTACGGTTATAACAGAATCATTAGTAACTCATTTGCAACTGAAGAAAAAGGGGAAAAAAAGGATAAAGAGGTTTTTAAAACCAAACTGCCATATAGAGACTGCTTTACCCAAATTTTGGTTGACAGCTTTCCTTAGATTACCTATCAAGGCAAACAAGGTTTAGCCATGTGAACAGGTTCCAATTTCATCAGAAAAATAATTTGGATCAGCTATCTTTTATAAAGTAGTGAGTTTGTATTGCTATCTTATGGCTAGATTCTGAGGTAAAAGCTATTGGATCTTTGTGCCTGTATGTATACATGTTTAGACATGTGTATATGTACATACATGTATATGTTGAATCTAGCATGCTACCAAATTGGCTTATAAGTAAATAAACACTCATAAATTAAGTAAGTCCTAATGCTTTTCAAGTTCACATGAATCTTTGGTAAATTAAATTGATTTTAAAATTATTAATAAAAATAAAATGTCTTCAGAATCATCAGCATATATTTTTATCTAAGTATTTTGACCAAATGGTTTTATATTTGTCTATGTCTATATATTAAGATGTCAGGGTTTAACATAATGGTTATAAGACTATAAAACACAGTCAAAAACAGACTAATCTTTGTGTGATTTTTTTCGACAAATAAGACTAATTTAATTTAGATTGGTGGTTCAATGAAAACAGCTCAATATTCTGAGTTGCCGGCAAAATACATTTACTTAGGTTCTTACTTAAGTTTTCACCTGTTACTCAGACTTTAAAAATGGTTAACAGGGAAACAACTTTAAATAATGACTAGCTGTGTATAACATCTCAGTTTTCAGAAGTAATCTAGATATACTGTTAAAAATGGAAAAAGCTCAGGGCATGTAAATGAGATAAATGCCTGTAGTGGACTTTCAAATTATTCTGAATTAAGTAATTGATGCTCATGAGATGTCTGGGTCATTTCCAATTAAGAAAAAAATTGTAATATGGGAAAGCATGTTTCAGAAATTGCAGAATAGTCTTTTGAAGGTAAGAGCCTGGGCATTCTCCAACTGCTAGCATTTGGTAAATAAAATTGCCTTCCTTTCATCACACCTCATTTCTCGTCTTTTTTGACTCCGAGTAGCAAGCAGCTGGACTTAAGTCAGTTACAAGACCTCTAGTTTAACATAAAAATTTCACCTTATGCAAGTTTGTAATTTATTCTCTCAAAGGTCTATAAACAAAACCACCTCAACAATATATTTAACATTCTATAAATATACAATTCCATTCCTTTCATTATAATGGATGCAAAAGTCCTAAACAAAATATTAGCAATTGATATACAAAAGGGATAAAAAATTATATCCAAATTGGGCTTATTCCTAAATGCAAAGTTTGCTTAACATTTGAAGGTCAATGTAATTTGCCATAATAACAGAATAGAGAAGGAAAATATATAATTAACTAAATAGATGCAGAAAAAACACCTGATAAAATTCAACACCCAGTCACACACAAAAAAACAATTATTCGTAGCCTAGATATAAAACAGAACTCACTCAATTTGACAAAAAGTAGGGACAAAACTCTACAGCAATGATATTAAAGATAAAGTATTGACAGCTCTCCCTTAAAATAAGGAATGAGACAAGAATGGCACCTATCATCCCTTTCCATTCACTGTTATACTGGAGGTCATAGCAATTATAACAAGGCATAGAAAAGAAAGTTAAAGGGATTCAAAAGGAAAAAAGCTGCACTATTTTATCTTTTTCTTTTTCTTTTTTTGAGATGGAGTCTCGCTCTGCCGCCCAGGCTGGAGTGCAATGGCATGATCTCAGCTCACTGCAACTTCCGCCTCCCAGGTTCAAGCGATTCTCCTGCCTCAGCTTCCCAATTAGCTGGGATTACAGGCACCTGCCACCACCACACCCAGCTAATTTTTTTTTTTTGTATTTTTAGTAGAGACAGCGTTTCACTGTGCTGGTCAGGCTGCTTTCGAACTCCTGACCTCAGGCAATCTGCCCGCCCTTCTCCCAAAGTGCTGGGATTACAGGCGTGAGCCACCACGCCCGGCCAGCTATACTATTTTCAAACATAACTATGTACCTGTAAAAATCCAAAAAATGCACGGAAAACTATTAGAATTACTCAGTAAATTTAGCAATGCATGAATAAGTAAAAATCAATTATATTTTTTATAAACTAACAATAAAGTTTTTTTTTTTTTTTTTGAGACAAGGTCTTCTTCTGTCACCCAGGCTGGAGTGTAGTGGCATGATCATGTGATCATAGCTCACTGCAGTTTCGACCTCCTGGGCTCACATGATCCTCTCACCTCAGCCTCCTGCGTAGCTGGGACCACAGGTACATACCACCACACCCAGCTAACTTTTACTGTAGAGACGAGGTTTCCCTATGTTACCCAGGCTAGAAAAAGGTTTTTAAAAAGATATCATTCATTATCACAGCATCAAAAAATATCAAGAATATTTGATCAGCATTAAAAAAATATTCAACAATAAATCTAGCAAAAGATACACAAGATCTCTAAACAGAAAATAGTTATCTCATTACTTTAAATGACTGAAAAGGTATGCTAGGTTATTGAGCTGTAAAACTTAACTGTAAAGACATCAATTTCTCCCAAATTTCTTATAAGTCAAGTTAAATATCAATCACAATCCCATTTTTTTTAAAGTGGTAACCAAAAGGTAGATTCTAGTGTTTATATGGAAATGCAAAGCCCAGGAATAGCCAAAATAGTCTTGAAGAATAAAGTTGAAAAATTTACACTGACAGATATCAAGACACAGTGCAGCTATTAAGAGAGCATTAGGCCTGGTATGACAGCTCACACTTATAATCCCAGCACTTTGGGAAGCTGAGGTGGGCAGATTGCTTGAGCTCAGGAGTTTGAGACTAGCCTGGGCAACATAGCAAGACCCCATCTCTACAAAAAAATTAAAAATTAGCCAGGCATGATGGCAGAAGCCTATAAGTCCCAGCTACTCAGGAGGCTGAGGTAGAAAAATCACTTGTGCCCAGGAGGCAGAGGTTGTAATGAGCTGTGATCGCACCACTGCATTGCAATCTGGGTGACAGAGCAAGGCCCTGTCTCAAAAGGAGAAAGGCAAAAATAAATATGGAACAGAAAAGAATCCAAAGCCAGACACCATACATAGAATCACCTAATTTACAACAGGTCAGTGTGGTAGAGGAGGATCTTTTCAATAAATGGTGCCAGGTCACTTGGCTATCCATTAAGGGAAAAATAATGAACCCTGACACTTGATCTTACACATATGTAAACATTAAACTTAGGAAAACTATAAATCAGAAGGTGAAAGCTAAAATGATAAATCTAAAAAATATGGAAATATCTTGCCTGATGGCAGGGTATAAATCTTTCCTTACTGGAGACAACACTTCCTTTTTGGCCCAGAAAGCATTAGCAGGCACCAGAGGAATCTGGAAATAGATTTTACTAGTTTTCCACATTTTCCTGCTTTTAAAGATTGGAACTGTTCTCTCCTCTGTTTTGCCAATATTTAAGATTTATGGCTCTTTTCAAAATACCATTTAAGCAAATCCACTGCTTGGAGAGAAAGAAATACTTCAGAACTGAACCCACCCAGGTGATGGATAGAGCACATGTTAACAAACTTCTGCTTATTTTTCTATTGTTAATCGTTCTTATATTTTCAAGAGAGTGTCTCAACTAAGAAACTAAAAAGGGAAAGAAAAATAATTATGCCTTTTCCCTTACAAACACATATTCCAACTAACGATTTATATCTAGATCATATAAATACCTCTTAACAATCAATGAGAAAAAGAAAGAAAAACCAATAGAAATATCAGCAAGACTGCAACCTGGGTGACAGAGTTGCAGTATGTTAAAGAGAGTATCCACATGGCTAATAAATACATGAAACGATGTTCAAAAGCAGACATTAAGGAAAAGCGAAATGCAAATTAAAACCACAATGAGATAGATACCACTAGATAGCATCAAAATGCCTAAAATTAAAAGCCAACAATACAATGATTGCAAAGAACAGAAGAAGGAGCAACATAATTGTTGGTCTAAGGTTAGCACAACCACTTTTCAGACTGTTTGGCACTATCTTCCAAAGCTGAACACACGCATATCCTGTGACCTAACAATCCCACTCTTGGAATACACTCAATAGAAATTTGTACATATGTGAATCAAAAGACACCAAAATATTAATTAGCAGCATTATTCATTAGACAAAAAACTTATCCACGTACATGTGAATAAACAAATTATACTATTACACTAATTAAATAGCATATGGCAATAAAAATCAACAGACTATACATCATAAAAACATGGATGAGTTCCATAAACAATAGCAAGTAAGCAAATACAAGAATACACACTGTATTATTTCATTCTGTGGTGTTAGAAATCAGAATAGTGATTACATCTAGAAGGAGAGAGGTCTTGACTAGGAGGTGGAGCAAGGAGGTTATTGAGGTGCTAGTAATGTTCTAATTTTGATCTGGCTATTGGTTACAAGTATGCATTCACTTGTGTTATTTCATTGTGCAGCACTCTTGTGATTTGGGCAGTTTTCTGACTGTATGCTTTATTATATTAATAAAGTATTACTGGTACAGTGTAGACAATAAGCATTCATTTAAAACATTAACTTAGGTACTGAGAGTACTATTAACAAGCATATTTGATAAAGATGATTTTCTCAATCATACCAGTTATGATAGATGCCAAGAAAATACGAAATGTAAACATTTTCCATCAAACGCTAGGAATAAGAATCTGTTCCCAACCAAAATAACGGTTTTTTGTGTGTGTCCCTGTTGACTGAGACTGAGGCACTCTTGGGATATTGGGCATTCAGCAAAGTCCCTGGCAAAGGCAAGCCTCACTTGGTCCCAAAGTTCCTCCTCAGTCCTATTAAAATGAATAAAAAATTAATACATCCAATCTGGCAACCTCTATCTGGGCAATGATCATCCTATTAATGATTATTTATGATCTGTTTAAATATATTTTTAATGGTACCCTGCATTCTAAAAATAAACACAAAATCTAACGGCATTCAAAGTCCACCTAGTCTTATTTCCTATTTGCATACTACCCATGTTACAGTCTGCAGCATAACTAGACAGTCTCTAGTTCCTGATTTTACTCATTGTCTGTGTTATCCTCTTCATCTGAAATACTCTAGTATTTCCCCCCATTTAAATCCGAATTAGTTTCTTCGAACTTCACCATCATCACAAAATATTTCCTTATTTCTCCAAACCAAATTAGTTCCTCAATTTCTCCCTCTTCTGAATTCTCATAGCATTTCATATATGCGGCTCTCATGACAATCTCTACATTCTATTCAGCATTATATTTATATATCTCTGTGTATCTCCCACACTGAACTGCAACCTACTTGGGACACTGTTTTATTAACTTACATATCCCTAGAACATGTATCACAGTACTCATGCAGTGGAAAACCAAACACTTGATAAAAGATGAGAGTTGTCATATAAAAATAGCTCTGTATCGCTTTCAGAAAGCCAACTGAGAAAAATAACTCAGTTCCATTGCATTTTCCCTCCACTCTTTCTTTTATGCACCTTTTAGGTAAATAAATTTCCTTTGCTACGGGATTCAATACTTTTCTTATATCCTATATAACTGAACTGAAATTCAAGATAAAAGAACATAGACATAGTTTCACATCATAATTCTTGGATGGCTAGTCTGCTTTCTCAAGCTATCAAATGGTTTTCTTAACTAAACATATAAGTCTACTGATTTTGTCACTCTTACCTTCTAATTTAGCTCGAAGACTTGATTCAGTTTTATTCTTCAGGGTTACTGAATCAGTAATAAGTTCAGAACTCTTTTCATCTGATACCAGAGGTTCCTTGCAATGAATATTTTGAACAGACTACATGAAAAAAAAAATCAAATAAAGTCCCATAAATAGTAGTACTACTAATTTGTCTTACTGTTCAATATACTAAAGTTTTATCTATATATAGATTGCTCGTAAAATTTTCTGTTATAATTATATGTAGACTCACAAACCCCCAGCAAAGGTTAATTGCCTGAATTATTAATTAGAGGAATGGGAAGGGTCATAACCATAAATCTGGCCAATTTGCTTTCAGTGGATGTATTAATCAATTGCTAATATTTCATTTAAAGATGGAAAGGGTTAGAAAGTTTAAATTCAACATAGAGTATGCCTCATGACAAGAAAGAAGATTTAAGTATTTTGTTACTTTGATGGCTATTTTATCACCAAAAATAACAAGTCAAAATTAATAACTGTATAATTTAAGACAGTAGTTACTCTAAATCCAGAGAGCAATCTTTTTGATACAATTCTGCACTGTTCTCTAGGACAGCCAGGATTAGAAAAAAATTAATACTTAAAGCATAGATCATGAAAGAGGGAGGTATTACAAAGAACATAAAATTGAACAGACCCACAGCATGATGCCAGGGGTTTAACTCAATTATAATAATAGTATAACCACTAAAAATCACAGTGTAGAAGGAACTAAAATTATTTCCTTTAAGTCCACACAGTTACTCTGCCATGTCAGGAAGTCAGGATTGATAATTTATGTCCTCACCTCTGCCCTAACTCAATTTACTCTCTCATTTTTCTTTTTCTAAGATGTCTTACCAGAATCATATGATTAAACATAACAAAAAACAAAACTTAAGACACAATAGCTCCCCCAGTCATGTATTCTCAAACCCAGGCCAACTATCTGCTTAAACACATGCATAATAAATACTACTTCATGATTCTCTTAAGAGACTGTTGATCCTTGCTCTACCACTTTAATCTTGGAGAAACATAGTCTAGGACTTCTGCACCAACTTCCCACTGGTAGTCCCACACCTCTTGGGGTATGGAGGAACACTGTTGGAGATACATGAACTATTTATAAACCCTTTCCCCAGAAAAAGCTCCATGAATCCTGATCTTCCCAGATCAGGAACCCTTGCTTCATATAATGACATAGAATTAAAATACCTTTAAATTTCTCAATTCACAGGAATCATTTCCACTTGGTTTAGATCCGGCCACAACCAAATCTCGGCATTCTGATCTAGAGGTTTGTCTTTTACCCATGAAACAAAATAATTTTAATATTAAATTTGAAAAAAAAAAATTTCAATGTATTTTCTCATCTTAAGTTGGATTTTTAATATAAATACTTTTTATTTAAAAAAACTCTTAAAAGGACATTTTTTAAAGTGACATAATTCCAATACAAAGGTGACAGCTAACAAAATTAGGTTCTGGGCAATGACAAAAGTGACAAGAGATAGGTGATTGCCTACTTCTTCATTATCTAATCAATAGCAATTGGAGTTAGGGTTAGACTGTGGGAAAGGCAAAGTATGTAAATGAAACTACATTTCCAATTACAAATAGCTAAAGGATAAGAACCAGGGTATAGCACTTCTGTGGACCTCCACAGTACCTAGCATTGTCTATCATTAATAGGAACCAAGAAAATGTCTGGAGTTTTTCTGTTTTTATTTTTAATTTTTTGGAGTGGGAGAAAGTCTCCTTTATTCTTGAGCTAGGTATTTGAAATAGAGATGAACAAGATGGAATGATAGTGACAAGACTTTAAAGCTTAACCTTGACAACCAAAATGTTCTTTTAATGTCAATGTTTAGTCAAGTCTAAATATAATAGAAATTTAATTATAAAAGATGTTAACTAAAAACAATCGTTGTATTTCTAAAGTTTATTTGCAAAATGATTCTCTGGACTGTAAAGAGCCTTTTCTAATATAAATATTACAAATGGTGGTCAAAATTAAGAATAGACCAAAATAATTCTCCTTTAGCTGAGCTAGATGTTACATTTCCATTTCTTAACAGGGAATAAACACGCAAATTGAGGGAAGGGGAACACACTGGATGTGATGAACAATATTTCATCTGTACCTAACCTGTCCCACTTCTTGAAGCCCTAGACTCTGAAGCAAAAGAATCATCATCTTTCCCACTGACAGCAATTCTCCCCTTGAACTACCTGGAGCAAATATTTGTTCCCAGACCTCCTTCTACCCATTATGGAGACTCTCGAACACAGCAGGAAGAGATTCTTAGCAGACAGCCTACCCATAAGTGAGAAATCCTCAAATATCAGTCTTTTAAGCTTAATGTTGGCTTAATATTTTTTCCTAATTTTTAAAGTTCCTTTAATGAATATTTTTAATAAGTGAAAAGCAAAACAAAGTTATTTTTTCCACTCATTCCTTTGTTCCTGACAGCATTTAGAGACTCAGTATCTTCTAAAACTGAATAAAAACTTAATCATAATTACTATTGCTCAGTAAAAGACTTTAAGACCATTCTGCCATCAATCTTCACATATGGACAACAAATTTTAAAAATTAAAACTCAACATACCTTTTTATAAAACAAGGTACAACTGAATCATCTGTCTTCACATCACAGTCTGGGCTATTTAGAAGGTTAAGTGGGACTCTTCCAAATGGGCATGACTAAAAATATTTTGAAAGATTAAAATAACCAACTAGGAAATTAAGACTTAACTATCACCACCTTAATCAAGCAGATTGAAAGTAACTTACCTGTTTAGTTTTGTTGGTTTGTTTCAATGAATTCCGATAACCTATTTCTGCATCTTGTGGGGGCATGTTCTCTCTAAACAGAAAGAAAATACCCCCAATTTTTCCAAGAATATTAATATGTATTTCTACTCTACTGCTAAACATTATCACACACGAAAACATATATATAGATACAGGTAATTAAATTAAAAAACACAGATGTATTTATATAGAAGATGAACATTTAAAAACTGTTTCCATTTCCTTACCCATACAAAAACCGGGCTTTGGTAGTCTGTCCTCTGGAATCACAACTGTTGTTCCTATTCTGTAAATGCCCAAGTGAACTGGAAAATGATTCTTGGGCAGTTAATACCATAGATGCTGTAAAAATTTTGAAACGATGATTAAATTTGTTAGAAATAAGAAAAGTACAAAAAAGTAATCTTATAAATAAGAATATTTTAGAAGTCAACTCATAGTAAATACTTGACCCCAAGTAAGATATGCAGACATGAAGATGTTACCAAGATAATTCTTTAACTACTTCTTCAAATTCTCTTAAATTATATAACTGTTTCCCCAGGGTAAAAGCACATTCTGTATTTCCAAAAGCAAAAAAAAAAAAAAAAAACCATTCTCTTGCTTAGAGTTGTTTTTCATGTGTTAACAAAAGTTTATTTAGCAAAAAAGACAAATTTGCACAGGGTCGTAAAGACTTTTTTACTTCTCAAAGTCTTAACTTCCTTTACAACTTAATCTTAGATTTTAACCATTCTACATAAATAATACTTTTCTATAAAATATTATCCTGAATCTTTATTTGAAGTACTACCGACCACAGAAAAGTATTAGTATACATTAATAGTTACCTGATAAAGTCTTCTTTTCCTCCTCTGAAAGCAGCTGCTTTTTTTGGAGGTTTAAATTCCGTAGGGCAATTTCCAGCATTTCTAGTGGTACTGCTCCACGTTCCACAGCTTTTTGAAGAAGTTGTTTACTTTTTTTGACATTACCTAACAAAGCAAAAGATACTTATCATTTTTAGGCAGTAATCTTTACCCACCACCCAGATATTTATTTATCAGGACCTAGGAAAAAAACTCAAAAAGACTTTAAAAGAATATTTATTCCAAGGCTCACGTACTTTATTTCATAGGCAAGTAAGCAATCTCTCACTTCTTATGCAGATAATCAACTCTCTTCTGATAACAATGCATACCAAATAGTTTCCTTGCAACATGGAGCTGACGTAATCGTGCGTTAGTTTATTACCACCATTCACTTTCAGAAGTAACAGAAGTGTAACAAAGCAGTTACCAAGAGGGGACAGCAAAGGTCAATCACAACAGTTAGAAACAGGAGGGTGTTCTAGATATTAAGAGCATCAGTCTCTTACAACATGCTGTAATAAGTATCATTCATAATGACATTTAGTTAAGGGAAGGATGACATCTTTTGTTAAACAGCATCTTCCATCAAAAGAATTTTGGGGGAAAAACGTAATAAATACAGATTAATCTTTAGCTATCACACTCAGCTATATCAGCCTGAAAAAGAATGCAGAATAACGGAGGAACTATCATAATTGTCTTTCTGAGTATGGACCGATTACCAAACAAATTGGTAAACTTACCCCTAGCATTTGACTTACTTTAAATGTATACATCATATATCTTACAGAATATTATCAACATTTATGGGAGCCACTGAACTATGCTATGCACTTGGCACTTAGGGTATAAAAATGCTTAGGAGATGATCTCTAGCTTCTGGTAGTTTATAAATTTTTAAAAATATCTTTGATAGTGATTAAGTCTACATTTATTCAGTAGTGGTAGAATTTCATGTGTTGTGTATTTTAGCACGACAAAAGAGAGAAAGGCTTAGATTAGAATTAAGAAGCTTAATTAATCAGAGAGCTTAGTACTGAGATCTGAGATTTCTTTAAGAATCTGGTAAAAACTGAAATGTCCTCCATCCCTATAAAAATACACACACAACAGACCGTGCATAGGGTTTCAGGGATGTTGCATTATTTCCTGGCAGTCAAGCCATCAACTGTGCTCAAAATAATCATAATTTGACCACAATGCACTACTGTGCAATGCATTTGACCACACTGCATCACTGTGCATTACCACCACACTGCAGACAAAGTGGTATAGATAAAGTTCATCTTTTTTAACAGATAACTCAATTTAAGAGTTTCAATATTTATGTGTTCTAAAGATGTAAAATTTATGGTTGTTATTGAGAGCCACGATACCTCAAGAAATTTTGAAGTAGAATGGAGAGAAAGAAGCCTTGCCAAATTTTCTCTAACAAGCAAGGAGGAATCCATTTTTCTAAGGAAGAAAGGGATAATAGTTCTAAAAAGTAACCTGACAGAGCAAAGGACATATTGGAGAAGACGATTACTAGGACTCAGAAATCATCTGAATGGGTAAAAATTCAGGGTTCTCAAATCATTTCTGAGTCATATAATTCTCTTCTCCAGCCTCAATCCTGGGGAATACTCTCCAGTGACCAATCCCTGCTATGGAAACCATCACGGGGATTCTTCCAATAGTGTTAATATGTTTATCACTGGCAGTAAACTGGATCACAGTTGTAGCAGAAACAAGGCAGTGGGAGAATGGAAACACCTGGCCAGAGAGCAGACTGAGGATGTTATCGAAAGGCCCCGGAAAATGAGAAAAGACTAAAGAATGGCCAGGTTAAAAATGTCTTAGGAAGAGATTGTCTTGGTCTTACCCAAAAAAATCCAGACTATGAAGAACCAAGTGAATAAGAAATAGTTTCTACAGCAGTTTACTTATTTTAAAGAACTACCAGTTAACGCTACACACACACATATAGTTTACCTGACCGTTAAGCTACACAGCTACACTTTAATGTACATTTTGGTGCTATGAAACCATAGCATAAGAAAAGTTTATGTAAGCTCTAGATACTCAAGCTAGAGCTTAAATATCTGATATCCTTCTTCCTACAAATACTCAGTGAAGCAGCTACTTTCCTTTAGACATTTCCTGAATCTAACTAGTAGCACATAGACAATGTTCATGCTCATTTCCCTGGATTACTCTTTATACATGGAAAAGCTAGTATAAGAGATATTCTCGGCAATTACGTTTAGGTGGCATTTTCCCCCCCATATTCTCATCTGATCAACTTAATGCCTTTTGCCTCAAATTTCCACTGCATATATATCATTTAATATTAGAATGTAAGTTGTAGTAAGTTATCCTTCACTTAAAATTTGAATTTGACATTTTCAGATTACCTTGTGACAGTTCAAATTGTGCAAAAGATATATGAACAAAAGCAAATTTCTTGCAGTTTGCTCTGGCCATTTGAAAGTAGTCACGTGCATCATCTGGCTCTTGAATACTGTAATAAAAGATCTGAGTCAAAATTTAAGAAAAAGAACACAGCTACTTAAATTTGATAATGCTTCATTCAATTTTCCAAAAGACATGGGATATTGCTTTTTTCTGTGGATAAAATTAAATACTAGTAAGTTATTTTTTAAAAATCTTTTTAGACAGTTTAAGTAAACTTTTGTGGAAATGTGCATAGAAAAGAGTTTACATTAGTCTCTTGTTAATTAGAAGCAAAAGTATTTGGTAAAAAAATATTAATTTTCTCACAATACTGACATGTTTTTATTTTCTCCCTTTGCAAGGTGGTTACATATTATGTAACATAGTTAAACACAGTTAAAATGCTAGTACTTACGCTTTTAATTCAGCAAATCTCACTTGAATTCTAGCAAAACTCTCATTTTGGCCATATTTATCTGGGGGAAGTGCTTCAATTGCTTGACTGTAACGACCAATCAATTTATTTAAAAGAGCATCACTTAGAGGAACACTGTTTTTCTCTAGTTTGAGCAACAAACTCAACCAGTCCTCTGGGCTGTTTGCCATCATCATAATTTGGTTAACAGTTCCCGAGTTATCTAAATAAGGGGAACAAAATATATCACAAGAGAAGACATAAAACAAATGCCAAATTGCAGTTTTCCTTCAAAATATAGTCAAGCATTTGTACTCACAGTATCAATGTACATAAAGTCCTTGTAATACTTTTTAAAATTGTAAAAGTTCATATAAATGTAACTTATTTATTGTATATTTATCTTTTATCTAGGTATACTTTATCCAAAAGTTACATATTTTGAAGAAAAGAAAAAAATCTGAAAATAAGTGGGATTTTTTGTAAGTAGCCTTTAAAAACTGGATGTAGTTTAAGAAAATTTTATGCTGTTGCAGGATAACTACAATTTTAGCATCCTACCTATCCATAGAAAACTAAATCTCTCCCACCACCACCTGTACTAATTAACTTAGAAAATTCTCCCTTCAATGATTTATTCATTAAACTTACTGCTCCGGTCCTAATATAATCTTCTTTACAACCTTACTCATTCAACGTTATCTCTGTATACCTCATACTTACTTGTAAAACAACCAAACCAGCTTTACAATAAAAAAATAAACAAATGATATAATCATTTTCTTCTCTCCAAGTAACCTGTATTTCTCCTAGAGGCCCTGATAATTTCTTGGTCCAACAAACTCATAGTTACCATGGTGTAGACCTTTGGAATTTATAGGACCTCTAGTGACGGTCAGGTTTCTCTCTGTGGAACCCCAACCAACAGAAACAGCAAGAATAATCTTCAGACAAAATTTTCACAGTGTAATGTACTTTTTAGTTTCTTCAGTGTTAGTTTTTTAAAAAGATAACTTGAATGTCAGTCTTCTGTTCAGGATATTTTGGTTATTACTAAGTATTATTAAATTCAGATTTCCAGAGAAGCTATCATTCCTTCTATAAATTTCAGTCACTTTCAACAAAGCCTACACCTTTACTTTTACAAATAAAATTTGTTTCTACTTTCTACTAAAATATAGTGCATGCATAACTTTGCTTTGTCGTTTTAAATTTAATTTGGCCTGACTTTTTCTATTTTTACCTCCTATTGCTTTCCTAAGAAATTAGTCTGTGAAATGTCTAAAACACACATTTTCATCTGTGGCTTTGCAGATACATTCCTCGTGCCTGAGGACCCTATTCTTCCTCTAATCAACAAATAAAACATTTGTGTTTTATCATGCTAGTATTCCTATGATGCCCAGCATGCATTACAGTGTAGCATAGTGAATATATAAATTCTCACCTAGAAAGAAACTATGGTTTCAAGCACCTTTGAATCTTCCTCAATACTTAAAATACTCAATTGCCTTGAGGTACAACCTTTGTTAGTGTGACATAATTAAGTACAATTATACTCTATTAAGATTTTACTTAACACCAAAACTATCATTTTCTAGGTTTTTTCAAAGTGAACACAGTCAGCCACCATGATTAGATCACAGGTTCTTCCACTTATTTTCAATTTCTCATCTATTTAATGGTTAGTATACATGTAACAAAATTATCCAAAGGTCACCATTCAAATGACCAACCATTTGAAATACAGTAAAGAATCAGGCTTCTGAGCTAATACTTTTAGAAGAGCTAGCGTATTAAACTCTGGGCACCTTCACCTATTAATCATTGTTCAATAAATGTTTAAGTACCTGCCTACCATGTGCCAGACACCAAAGTTCTGTGGATATAACAGATAAAAACCCTGCCCTCATGTAGCCTACATTCTAGTGGAGGTGAAAGACAATAAACACATGAGTAAATTTTAAAGTGATTAGTACTACCTACTTCTTTACCTTAGAGGACACCCAACAAACAGTTAATAACTTAAAAGAAAAGAAAAACTCACCTGTAGTATCAGCAGAAATTTTATTCAAGCTTAGTTCATCAGTAAGGTCTTCATTTTTAAACTTATTTTTAATGTCTCTCACTTTGTTCATTATGGAATCAATTGTCAATTCTCTGCCACTTAAATCCTCGGACTCCATTTCTAAGAAAAAAACTGAACTAGTCATAATTCCTATTTAGCATCAAAGAAAAAAAATGTGCTAGCTTTTTAGAACCCAGACGACTAAAGCATTCGTTTTGTGAACACATCTAAACGCAGCTATTACTAGGCTAGTATTAATGGAGCTAAGTGCACAACAACAAGGTACACATCTTTGTAATTTATTCAGCAAGGTTTCATAGGCCAAGTACACTTTTCCCCCCAATATAACATCAATGACGTCATACTCTAGAAATCACTCTAGAAATCTGCAAATTTAGTGTCACTTAAAAAAATATGATGGAGTGTTTGCTTGGATTCTGGAAGCTACATACACATAAAGATTGCTTGGATTCTGGTAGTGACATAGGCAAAGAATTTGGCAACGAGAATAACAATTCTTTTATTCGCCTGCTTTACGTGAGTAAATCTTCACCGTGCAAGTGCTTTCAAAGCAAAATATGAACATGATGGGGCTTTACTGATAATTAAGAAATCCACAGGTTTATTCTTGTGCATATCTAGCAGAATCATGATTTGCTACCTTAATCCAACACTAAGAAACTACTGTACTGGTACTGAGCACTTGCTTATCTGCATGGTGGTGGTGTTTGTTCAATAAAGTGTCTGCAGTCTTACTGTTAATCGTATCTTTGTGCCTCTCAAACACCAACTCAGTGTGACTGATAACAATGCTGCCCCGTCTTCGGATTTAACAATGAAGAAGTCATAAAGTTGCAGCAAGGTATCACTCCACCTTTTAAGAGAGGTTTGAAAGGTAACTGTCAGATCACGGCCACCCCTTTCTTTCCCAGTTCCAACCCGCAAAACAAGAGAGATCGTCTTTGGAAAACGATCTTGTGCGGAGGTACCCCACCACCCCTTCTTTCCAGCGTGGGCCACACCCACTTCTTACTTCCTCAACAAAACCTCCAGCATCACCCCACCGGCCAGACGCGCTGAGGCACCGAGCCTCCCCTCCCCCTCCAGCTTGTTTAGCCGCGTCGAATATCCGGCTGCAAGCTGCCCCCACCTCGCCCCACCTCTCACCGACCGGCGTTGACAATGAGCCCCTACACCGGCTGCGGCCGTTCCTCAGTACGCCGGTGCGCCGGTGGGAGAGAACTTACCCACTGGAAGCGGCGCTGAGGAAATGAAAAGATGGAACCTAAACTCCTTTCCGCAAACACGTTTGAATTTCCCCGTCGCTATCTCCACGGTCTCCAGTTGGTCAATGCTAGCCACGTAGAAGCGTCTGTCGTGATTGGTTCGTGTGCGACGGGGCCGCCCCTCCCCCTGCGTCAGGCGAGGCCCGCCCCGGAAGAGCCCGCGGCCGCGTCCGCACCGGTGAGGTGCCTGGGTTGGTAGGGTGCTGGCACTTTGCAGGCGTTCCCCGGGCGCCAGTGGGCGGGCTTTCTTGCTCTTTCCAGTTTAACCAGGCCGAATTTCTGCCTGGGAGGTAGCCACTCCCGGGCAAACCTACCTGGTGAGAGGAATATAGGGGCGGGGACGGCTGCTCCCAGCATCCGGACCTAAAAGATGCACCTTGGGTCGGCTCTTTACTGACCTCACCGCCACTCTTCTCCTTCGTTCCACGCGGTACTCACAGCCTGGCTTAGAGAGGATGTGGCAAGAAAGGATCTTTAACTGGGCTACGTTCAGCCCTGCCGCCAGCTCAAGAATTTCAGTGCTTTTTATGCTTGAGCTTCCGCTTATGCCCTTCCATTATCCTTAAATGACTCCTTGCTTTATCTTCAAGCCAGGACCCTCCCCCTTGTCAAAATTCTGCGCAGAACTCAAGCGCCCATCATGATTGCCCTGCCTGAACTCGCCTTATCAGCCCCCCTCCCTCCGAGCCTGCCCCACTTAAGGGCTCAGGTGTCCTCAGGGGTAAAAACATCTCCCTAGTAATCTTTGCGGGTGCGAGGCTCTGCTGCTAAGTGGCTTTGTGGTCCAGGGCAACAGTTACTCCTCGTCTGCAAAACTAAAAGGGATGTGTCTGTTGTGCCAGCATTATGACGTATGTTCGGTGGTAGGACGGGTTGGTTTTGTGTATGTATAGGAAACTAACTGCAGCTGTCACTTGTTAACTCTAAAGCTGTCCTTAGAACCCTCACATTCCCAGCTCTGGATAGTCACCCAGTCAGCATGAGAGCCCTTGTCAATCACTTAATGCATCTTTCTGTGTCAGCTAGCTGGTATTTCTGCTTCAGCAGAGCAGAAATGACTTGCTATACCATGGTTGGCTAATCACTTACCTTTGCACCATTGCATCTAATGCTGCTTTTGCCTGGAAAGAGTTTATTATTCCTTCAATTCTCGTTGATCTGTTTGCGGCCTGATCTCAAAGCTTGCATTTTCCTGAAAATACTGTTGCTGGGCGACCTCACCCTAACACTTCTTTCTGTACTTTCGTGTGGTAGTCTCCTCCAGTCTTCTATCTTTAAATACCATCTATATGTTGATGGCTCCCAAATGTTTATCACCAGCTGAGCTCTCCTCAACTCCATACTCCGATATCCACTGCCTACTTATTATCTTCACTTACATGTCTCATACGCATCTTGAACTCAAAATGTCCAAAACCAAGCCCCTGATATTCCTACCCAAATATGTTTTTTACAAAATCTAAAAAGACAAATTCATTGTCCTAAATTTTTTAGCCCCAAAACCTTTGTGTCATCCAGATCCCTCATCTAATTCATAAGCAGATTGAGTCAGGGCTAGCACAAGAGATTCCTGGACTCCTACCAGTTCTCCCCACCTCCACTGCCACCACTTTAGTCCAAGGCACCTTCATCACTTACCTGATGTTACGTGCAGTAGCCTCCTGGCTGGTCTCCCTGCTTCTGCCCTTGCCTCACCTCAATTTATTCTCTGACATAGCAAAGTCATCTTAAATCAGATTATGTCACTACTTTGCTCAAAACCCTTCAGTGCTCCCTTTCTAGCTCGGAATAAAACCAAAAGTCCTTATGATGGTCAGTGGCTATTGAGCACTTGAATATGTCTAGTGCAACTGGGAACTGAATTTTTAAATTAATTAACCTTAATTGATTAAATTTAGATTTAAATTTGAAAACTGATATCTAATGGGATTATTTTAAAACTTTTTAAAGTAATTTTTTTTTATTTTTTCTAAACTTGCATTAGTCATGAATTTATTGGAAGACTTTTAAGTATACTTGGAACAACCTAAGTATATGAACCTACTTTTTCAACTGTAAATTTTGTGGGATGCAAATGCAGATGAAGTATTTCCAATGAAAGTGTCTGAGTAAGAAATGTGATGTACTGTTAAGTATAAAATACACTCTGGATTTTGAAGACTGAATAAGAAAAAGTAATAAACATTGATAATTTTAAAAATATCAATTACAGGTTAAAATGATATTTTTGCTATATTGAGTTAAATAAAATATATTATTAAAATTAATATACTCCATCACAGACCAGAGGAGACTAAGAAGACATGACAACTAAATGCACTGTGATATCGTAAACTGGATCCTGAAACAGGAGGATGACATTAATGGAAAAATTAGTAAAATTCAAATTAAGTCTGAGGTTTAGTTAATGATAATGCACCAATGTTGGTTCCTTGGTTTTGAAAAATGCATCACAGTAATGCAAGATCTTAACAACAGAAAAACTGAATGAACAGTCTGCAGCAATTCTCCGTACTATTTAATACATTTAGAATTTTTTGTAAATTAAGAATTATTCAAAAATTAAAAGCTTATGAAAATGCAATTTCACCTGTTTTACACTTTACTATGGCTAGTAGGAAATTGAAAATTACATATATGGCTTACATTGTATTTCCATTGGACAGTGGTGATCTGTAAAATCCTACAGTTTTACCTATTTGACCTATTTATTTATCTTGTTTATTTTCTGACTTTCCAAACTTTACCCCCACTAGAATGTAAACTCCATAGTACAGGAATTTTTGTCTATTTTGTTCATTACAGCATCCTCAGTGCTTAGAACGGTGCCTGGTACATTTGTAGGCACTTAGTAAATGTTAGCTAAATACTAACATTTACAACCATTAGAGTATTTAAGAATCCTATTTTATTTAACACATTTGTATACTTCTTGCATCACAATTTCTCATTTGGCTTAAAATCAGCTGCATCTGACAGTGAATAAACTTTTTCATTTTCAGAGTCAAGCCTTTCACAAAGCAATAAAATTAGCCATAAGATTATGACTTATTTTAAGATGGTAAGTTTCACATTTTTGTCACATAAATGAAAGTTTGAACTATTTAACTTTGTCATTAGCATCATGTCACTTTTTTTGCTAATCTTTGACTTTTCAGTCAGCACAGCTGCCTTTTTTATTCCATTATTTATTTACTTATTTATTTTAATCCCCTCTAAGGAGTTTTTTATTCAATTATTGAGGTCATTGTTACACAAGCTCAGTAAGGCCCAGACTTTGATTTTTAAAAACTAATTATTATACATGGATTTCTTTTGTGTGTATGCAAAAGTTAAATTTCTGATCAATAATAAATCCAGTTCTTACAGCATGCAATCAGTTGTGTGCTGCTTTATGGTGGTTTATTCTGGATAAAACATTACTAGTGTATGCTGATTTTAGTGCATTTAGGAGTGAGCCCATAAGAATGTTGAGAATTGTATGAATACTGTCAGGAAAGCTAACTATCACAGAATGGACCAAGCCATACACGAAATAAAATAATGCCAAGGACAGGTAACAACATACCTCATAGATAACAAAGAAAAACAGCAATGACAGTTTAGATTGTGTTCTACAAAGGAAAATAGCAGTGACAAGTTAGGACCACTACTTGGACATCAGGTATTATTTAATCATGCAGGCAACAAACTATGCTAACAAATAACAGAAGAAAAGTAGGATTCTCAGTTCCTATTTTTCTTTTTTCTCCAATATGAAGAATAGTAGTCAGACCGACAATCTTAAAAATAAATAAATAAATATAGGACAGGTTATATAAGAAAGACATTTAAATTCCATTTAAATTCTCTGACACAAACGTGTGTGTGTGTGTGTGTGTGTGTGAGAGAGAGAGAGAGAGAGAAAGAGAGAGAGAGAGAGAGATAGGGTCTGGCTCTGTCACCCAGGCTGGAGTGCAGTGGTATAATCTTGGTTCTCTGCAACTTCTACCTCCTGAACTCAAGCCATACTTCCACCTGAGACTCCCAAGTAACTGATACTACAGGTGCATGCCACTATGCCTGACTAATTGTTGTATTTTTTGTAGAGACAGGGTTTTGCCATGTTGCCCAGGCTGTTCTCAAACTCCTTAGCTCAAGCAATGCACCCATCTCAGCCTCCCAAAGTGCAGGGAGGCATTGTGATGGTCTGTGACTACCATCACACTTGACCATAATTTTTAAAAAAATTTATCCGTGTTGGGTGCGATGGCTCACGCCTGTAATCCCAACACTTGGGGAGGCTGAGGAGGAGCAGATCACCTGAGGTCAGGAGTTCGAGAACAGCCCGACCAACATGGAGAAACCCCGTCTCTACTAAAAATACAAAATCAGCCGGGCGTGCTGGTGCACGCCTGTAATCCCAGTTATACAGAAGGCTGAAGCAAGAGAATAGCTTGAACCTGGGAAGCAGAGGTTGTGGTGAGCCGAGATCTCGCCATTGCGCTCCAGACTAGGCAACAAGAGCGAAACTCTGTCTCAAAAAAAGAAAAAAAAATTATCCATCCATTTTCAGTCTCTGCTATATAGAAAGAGCCTCACATAGTTGGTTAATATACCAAAATATCCTGAAGAAAATAAGCAGGATATTGAAAAAAATGTGCAAATATAATCCCAGAAACATTGCTGGCAATCTCTGAAAAGTCATAGTAAGTAGAAGCAATGATAGAAAGCCAGAAATGGATGGACAAGTCTTACCTTTTTGGAAAAGGTAGAATTTGGAAGCTATTAATCTGTATAATCTCCGTGTAGATTTTAGACCCATTCTGGGATCAATTACAGAACTGTTTGGAAGCAAAGATCTCTAGAAACCAACATGAATGCATTAAGAGCAGGCCATATAGAATACACTAAGTTCTGATTTTGATTGTTTCTGTATTTTGAAAAGGGAAGGCCATAAATACAGAATATCTTAACTTTGGCAAATAAAATGATAAAGGCTCTCTTACTGTTTTTGTGGAAGAAAGGAGCAAGTAATTCCCATACAGTTAATGTGAAGTAGTTCTGCAATTCTGGATCATTTTTCTCAAAGATCACTTGTTAATGGTTTGAGGAGAACTTCAGGTTGATCCCTAGTAGAAGTCCTCAGAACTCTGTCTGCAGTTTTATTCTAAACTACATATCTTATCTGTGTGACAAACATATAAAAATAATGCTTAACTTTTCATATTAATTAAAACAAAAAAATACAAAATTAAAAGATACTTTAAATGGACAAAATTGATAATATGCAATTTATAGAGATAAATGTACATCTGTACATTTAGATTTCTAAAAATAATAAAATTCTCAAATACACAGTTAGAGCCTAGCCAAGATGAAGAAACATGGTCCAGATTTATTCTCTGGAAACAACAGTAACAACAAAAACTATACAAAATAAATGAAATAATGGTTTTCAAGCATCAGACATCAGGCAATACAGTACAGTGATCCTTAAGAATAGTGAAACAAACAAATGAGTCATAATGTTGCCTCCAGATTACTT